TCATAATTCCACATAATTACTGTTTCATGTGCCATGACCTTCAATTCACCTTTGTATTCCCAACACCTATTGTCTGTTACTGAGTTGTGACCCAATGTTATTTGAGGTAGACATTCATTTTGATGACAGGGCTAACTCTGATGGCTAACTTTTATTTTTTTTAAAATATATTTTATTGATTTTTTACAGGGAGAGGGATAGAGAGTTAGAAACATCGATGAGAGAGAAACATCGATCAGCTGCCTCCTGCACACCCGCCACTGGGGATGTGCCCGCAACCAAGGTACATACCCTTGACTGGAATCGTACCCGGGACCCTTCAGTCCGCAGGCCGACACTATCCAGTGAGCAAAACCGGTCAGGGCTGATGGCTAACTTTTAAATGACTTTCCAATTTACATCTTTACCATCTGCCTGCTATTTGTATGGTTAACACTGCCTTTTCATAAGTCTTCCTCCTTTCTAAATAATCCTTAAATTTGTAAATTTCCTAAAATTGATGTCATCTTGCTCAAAAAGCCTTCAATGTCTCCTGATTACTTTCAAAATCTGGAATACAGTTCATGCTTCCACTGTCAAGCTCTAACTTACCTCTCCATCTCCCATTTATTATTCTTTAGTCCCTTACTTGTGACATGAACACATTTGCGATTTCCTAAACCTGCACTTTTCATATGATTTTTCCTCATGCTCTAATGCTTTGCTTCCTTTTTGCCCATATTAATATTTTACTTGTTTTCAAACACAGCTCAAAGGCCATTTTTACCATGAGTTTCTCTTATGTGCAAGCATCCCATTTTCTTATTTCTATGCACTATTGTGCCATTTGACTATTCTGCCTTGTATTATAGCTAAGTGTGTGTGTGTGTGTATGTGTGTATGTATATGTATATGTATATGTGTGTGTGTGTGTGTGTGTGTGTGTGTATATATCCCCAAGTAGACTAGGAAATACCCTTAAGTCAGAAATCAATCTTATCCTATCTAATAATAGACAAACATGGTAATTAACTATACCTCCGCTACGCTTCCCATTGGCTAATTAGGGTGATATGCAAATTAACTGCCAACCAAGATGGTGACCGGCAGCCACGCAGCTGAAGCGAACATGAGGCTTGGTTGCCCCGATGATGGAGGAAGTCAAGGTTCCCTGCCTGCTGCAGCCCAGCTCTGAGCTCTGGATGCAACAATGTTGCAATTATAGACGCTAAACAAACCCCAGATACCTGCTTTCAGCAGGCCGGTCTCGGAGCTGGAGCCGCAACAAAGTTTCAATTACAGAAGGTAAATAAATCCCAGAATAAAAAAAAAACAAGAAAAAAAAGGAGAGACTGGGAGCTTCAGTTGCAGGCTTGGCCTGCCTGAAAACAGCCCTCAGCCCCTCATCCAGGCTGGCCAGGCACCCCAGTGGGGACCCCCACCATGAAGGGGGTGCAGGCAGTCTGAAAACAGCCATCAGCCCCTCACCCAGGCTGGCCAGGCACCCAAGCAGGACCCCCACCCTGATCCGGGACACCCTTCAGGGCAAACCAGCCGCCCTCCACCCATGCACCAGGCCTCTATCCTATATAGTAAAAGGGTAATATGCAAACTGACCCTAACAGCAGAAAGACTGGGAATGACTGGTCACTATGACACACACTGACCACCAGGGGGCAGACGCTCGATGCAAGAGCTGCCCTCTGGTGGTCAGTGAGCTCCCACATGGAAGAGCTCTGCTCAGCCACAAGCCAGGCTGACGGCTGCCAGTACAGCAGTGGTGGTGGGAGCCTCTCCTGCCTCCTCAGCAGCGCTAAGGATGTCTGACTGCAGCTTAGGTCTGCTCCCCGCTGGCAAATGGACATCCCCTGAGGGCTGCCGGGCTGCCAGAGGGATGTCTGATTGCCATCTTAGGCCCAATCCCCTGGGGAGCAGGCCTAAGCCAGCAAGTGGTCATCCCCCGAGGGGTCCCAGACTGCGAGAGGGCACAGGCCGGGCTGAGGGACCTCCCATCCCCGCCGTGTGCACAAATTTTTGTGCACCAGGCCATATATATATATGCCTAAGCAACCGCCGCAACCAAAACAACTGAATGGACGACCGAACAGGCTGTGTGGGGCGACCAGGCCGGCAAGGGGGTTAGTGAGGGATGACCAAATGACTGAGCAGCAGGCTGCGCGGGGCAGCCAGGCCGGCAGGGGCGACCAAACAACAGAACAGCAGGCTGCGTGGGGCAACTAGGCCGGCACGGGGTGCAGTTGGCGGCAACCAGGCCATCGGGGGAGGGGGGCAGTGAGGGGTGAACACACCGGCAGAGGGGGGCAGTGAGGGTGACCAGGCTGGTGGGGGGGGGGCAGTGGGGAGCAATCAGGCTGGTTGGGGGGCAGTTAGGGGCAATCAGGTTGGCAGGCAGATGCGGTTAGGGGCGATCAGGCAGGCAGGAAGGTGAGCAGTTAGGAGCCAGCAGTCCTGGATTGTGAGAGGGACATCCCCCAAGAGGTCCCAGATTGGAGAGGGTGCAGGCTGGGCTTAGGGGAACCCCCTCCCCCGCCCCGTGCACAAATTTCATGCACCTGGCCTCTAGTGTTGATGTTTTGTGTTGTCCTTTCTCCTTTCCACCCTAAACCTAATTCTTCTATATCCCTAAAATGTGCATGGCATTTGTGGTGGCTTAAATATATGCTCACAAATTCTTTTTATATTCCTTCCTTCAAGAGGTGAAACTAAATTATTTCTAATATGGAGAATGTGGCAGAAGACAGTGCTTTATTTCCAAGACTCAGGTATAAGATATTGTGGCTTCCTCCTTGCTCACTCTGGGGTAGCCAGCTGCCATGCCAAGACATTCAAGCTGACCTATGGAGAGATGCATGCAGTGAGGAGAGGATTCCTGGCAATAACCAGTGAGAGACTGACATCCCACCCCCACCAACAGTGAGCCTTCTTGGAAGCAGATGCTCCAGCTCCAGACAACCCTTCAAGTGACTGCAGCCTCAGCCAAGGACTTGACTGTAACTTTATTAGAGGCTGTGAGCCACAGGCACCCAGCAGAGTGGCATCCAGGCTCCTGACACACACAAACTCTGAGATAACACATGTTTGTTATTTTAACTAGCCACATTTTGGGGTAATTTATTATGTAGCAATACATAGCAAATATAATATTCAAACCTGAAACCTAAGGAATAGAAATGGTGAAAGAAAATGAACATTTTTATTGAATTTCTTCCTATTCTCACTTTCTCAATGCATAAAACCATCACTTACCCAGCACTCCAAATGAGAAACATGAGGCCAAACTTGACTCTCCCTACCAACCATATCACTGAATTATCATTTTTCTATTATCACTTAAGTCCATCCCTATACTTCCAGCTTTAACTCAGAGCCTTTACCATTTTTTAATTACAGCACAGATTTCCAATTTTTCTTTCTTCCTACAGTCTTTCCCAGCTCCACTCCATTCCATTTCTTAGACCAGTGGTTCTCAATCTTCCTAATGCCGTGACCCTTTAATACAGTTCCTCATGTTGTGGTGACCCCCAACCATAACATTATTTTCGTTGCTACTTCATAACTGTAATTTTGCTACTGTTATGAATCGTAATGTAAATATCTGATATGCAGGATGTATTTTCATTGTTACAAATTGAACATAATTAAAGCATAGTGATTAATCACAAAAACAATATGTAATTATATATGTTTTCCCATGGTCTTAGGCGACCCCTGTGAAAGGGTCGTTTGACCCCCAAAGGGTTCGCAACCCACAGGTTGAGAACCGCTGCCTTAGACTAATGGCAACAAAAGGTTTCCCAAGCACATATCTCATCATGTTATTTGTTTGTTAAGTTTTATTAATTTTAGAGAGAGAGGAAGGGAGAAGAGAGAAACATTGATACGAGAGTGCATCTTCGATTAACAGCCTGCTGCAAGCCCCCTTCTAGGGATGGAGCCCACAACCCGGGCAGGGCATGTGCCCTGACTGGGGATTAAACCAGCAGCCTTTTGGTTCAGAGGACAATGACCAACCAATTGAGCCACACTGGTCAGGGACTGTTATTTACTTTTATTAAAATTCACTACTTGCTCTCACATTGCACAGGACAAATTTTAAATGTCACAGGATGGCAGGTTTGTCCCTGTCCTGTATCTTTTTTTCTCATCTCCTATGTCCACAGCCTATAATCTGTTTATCTTTCACCTTTGCATATGCGGCTTTCTTTCATATTTCCCTTATAACTCCTACTCTTGATTTTGAGAGAGAGAAAGGAGAAACACTGATTTGTTGTTCCACTTATTCATGCATTCATTGATTGATTCTTGTACGTATCCTGACTGGGGATCGAACCCACAACCTTGGCATATTGGGACGATGCTCTAACCAACTGAGCTACCCAGCTAGGACCTAACTCTCACTCATTTTTAAAAGACTCAGCTCAAGTCTTTATCTCAGAAAATCTGCCTTAATTACCAGGTCTAGATTAGATGACTTTCTCATGTAACTTTACCAGAGCACTTACTTACATAGATGGTATCATGTCCTTCATTGGAATGTGAGCTTCTGGGGAAAAGAATCTATCCCTGACATCTACACATTAATTTATTCATACAGCCAACCTATATTTACTAAATAACTACAAGACAGACACTTATGTTAGGTGTGGTTATATAATGGTGAACAAAACAAATATGCCCGTCCTGGCGGAGCATGGAGTCTATTATTGAAGAAAAAAGACAGTAAGTCAAATAAACAAATAAATATTGTGATATATGTATACATAGACGCTATGAAAGAGTGGGACCTACTTTAGATCAAATTTTACTGAATAAAATATTTTCCAAGAGGTATGTATAAATTATACCTTCACCGTGGACATATAAATGGGCTAGGTTCATCACATCCTTGCTAACACTGAGTGTTTTGTTCTTAGAGAAAAAAAAATCTTTGCTTATACTATCAATGTCATTTTGTTACTTACACATTCTCAGCACTAAGAATCATGAACAAGAATACAAGACATGATCAAATATGTTTTATAAAAGCTTACTTAAGCACAAGTGGAAAACTAAGACTAGCTTTACATACATTATCACAGTTACTTAAATGTATGGGTAAGATAATTTCAAAATAATCACTTGCAAGATCAATAATTTTCTAAGTAAAAAGTAGTATTAAAAAAAGAAAATGAAAAGCCAAGACTTTCTGGTATTTAGAAGTCTGAAGAAATCATCGTCTGGTTCTTTTAAAAGAGCAAATTCCAAGGGAATCCCTGACTTTCCCTAGGTTAAGTGCCAAATGATTCACAACTAAAGTATTTCTGGGACATGGGAGTCTGTGACAAAGCTAAAAACAAAACAAAACAAAAAACCAAATCCATTAAAAAAGAGGCTCAATGTTTTAAAAAGGAAGTGGGAGGATGAGGAAATCATATGTTAAAATACATAAAACAATTTTACTAATAATTACTCATTAAATAAAAATACTTTATAACTGACCAAAAGTCTAAACAAAATAAAACTTGGTAATCGAAGATGAAAATGCTGAATTCTTATCACAGTTGGGAAGATTTCTAGGAATCTAGAAATTTCTAGATTTCTTATATTGTAAATTTCTAATATTAATAATAAAACACATAAAAATTACAAAAACAAAGCTCATATTGCCGTAGATTACAAAACCTGCTTTACAAATGTTGCATGTATCTCTGAAAACTTTAGTGGACATTAAAGCACAAGAATATAAAAATTAAATAAGTCCACCCCTTCTTAAGACCAAATTAGCTACATTAATATCAGCTGATCATGTACTTTCCCAAATTCACTGATATGGTTATAGAAAATTTAAATTAATCAGTATAGATAAGGGAAAAATAGCTTATGTTTTACCACACATTAGCCTTATCAGTTGAAATAATGAGATGTTTCTGGAAAACATGCTCATCTCTGTTTTCAGTGTATTTCAACACTCAGCTGGGATTTGTGCCAAGAGATAGAGGTATTGGTCATCAAACCTGTAACACAATAAAAGCTGTTTAACAAACTGATGGTTGCCCAACAAAAATTGTTAACTTTTCAAAGGCAGGAAGCTTATTATTTTAAAATTTGGCTTCTGCACTGGAATTTTGCTAAGCTTTTAAAGGTATTAACTTTATTAACCTGCAACAATCATCATTTAAAAATCATATATAAAAACTGTCACAATTGGTCAGAAACAAGGTTTCATGTTACTCCAAATTATCTCTGACAGTGGCAAGACTTAACCATTTGAGCCACTCTCAGCAGGCTGGTGATATAGCTCAATTAATATAACACACAATAAGTGTTGTTGTTGAAAAAAAAGCAAATTATTTTCCTATTTATAATTTTTGAAAAAGGTTTATTACAAAAATAATTTCTTTGCTATATATTTCTCTGCCATGATAATGTTAAAACATATCTAGGTTCTCCTCAAACATCAAGAGTTAAGAGTATAGCATTCCATTTTAGTTAAAACATTCCCACACAGCCAACACATTTTTTCAAGGCACTCTAAGAACTCTCAAGGACACTACAGAAAAAATGTTCATCTTGTCTACTGATCTTTTAGGCATGTGTCCCCTCAAACTTTTCTGAATTGAACTGCTATAACTGTTTCTTCTTCATTTTCCACGGTAGAGTCCTTATGTTATTTTTCTTTTATTTGGAGCCACTCCTTCATTTTCAACTTGCTGAGCAGGCAGGCTTTTGGTTTCCGTGGAAACTGGATTCCTGCGGCTGTGTGTAGGCATTCTTGTTCCACTAATCTAAGAGATGAAGCAAAGAACAGAAAATGGTTTAACATGTTTACAACATATTTATATACAGTCATTATTACCACATGTATTACTTTCTTTGTGAATGGTCCTTGTATATTTTTTAATCCCTAACCACCTGGCTGCTTCTGAATAAGCTTTAATCTCACAAAGTTTTAAAGGGCTAAATTTTCAAGATCAGGGTAGATGAAGAGAAGTGGAGGGGAAACCACTTTCTATGTTAAATTTGGAAGAGGTTGAAATGTTAAATTAGAAAATGAGGGAATTACAGGCCTTTTTAGCAACATGTCTGCCATAACAAAGTGAGAGAAATGAAAACTATGAAGGGAGGGAAAGGAAATACAAGAAGGTTAGAGCTGGTAAAGGGGGAGAAATTCCAAAATGGAAGGAGACCACAGAGGATGGAAAAAGAGAAAGAAGGGAAGTGGGGGAAAAACTTTTTGGGGTGCTAGTTCTGCCTTAATGTCTACTCTTCGGTGCAAGTTGCTGCCCATCCTCACTTTCTAGCTATAATTCATTGTCTAGGGAAGAGAGAGATATATTCTTAAGACACAATCCCTTGCTAATTATAGTCATTCTGAAGATGAGATCTAGAAATGCTGCCATCTCCTTGGCCACTGAGAGAGCATAAAGTTTTAAAATAGTTAATGGAGAGCCAAGCCTCACAGAGGACCAAAGCTGCATAACCTGAGACCTTTCCCCCAGAACCTGTCCATATCTGCTTCTATTTTTCTTTTTAAAAATATGATTTTATTGATTTTCAGAGAGAGAGAGGAACATCAATGAGAGAGAAATATCATTGACTGGATTCCTTCTGCAGGCCATGTGTCCTGCAGGACATGTGCCCTGACCAGGAATCAAACCGGGGACCTCTGGGTTCCTGGGATGATGCTCAATGACTGAGCCACACTGGCCAGGCTCTGCCTCTATTTTTCCTAGCCACCTTGTAGCCTTCACATCTTGTCCAGTGAAGTGTAGACCTTGGAGTAATGGGTGATACTGGAACTCCCAACACTCTCTTATTCCTAATCCAACAGACATATTACTAGCATTGTTCCAAAGGGTTACTCGCTCACTAAGAATGAAGCAGACCCCAGCTTCTCTCACCTAATATCTTGTCCCTTTAGGGGCATTTTTTGGTTTACAATTAGATGACTAGAAAGGACAAACTTGAGTTGGGATCTGAGTCTGCTAGTCTGTCTGAATCTGATGAACAACTGTAACATACTGATTAGAAAAGTGCTGGGAGCCGGTCCATCCTTGCTGTTTCAAGGGACCTGGCATATATGGCATACTGTTCTTAATATGTTTGCTCACCTTCTTGGCACTATGTGTTTTAACCAAGGTCACCTCTCTGAGAAAGGTTGTTTCCCCAGGTAGGGATTTTCCCCTGAAGTTAGGGAGGGAATAAAACCTCTTAACTAAGTGCCAGGCGGGTAATTAATCACTTTAACTATGAACAATCATGCTTAAGCTACATAATCTTTACTCCCTGGAATGGAGATAAGAAACGCCCTAACCTTTGGAATAGAGATTGATAGGATTGGAATCAACTGGTATAAATACAGATGTAACAAGACAGAACTTAGAAGACAGAACCTACACAGAACCTAGAGACAGAAGAACTTCGCTGGAGAGAACATGGCAAAAGATCCTGGACAGAAACTGGCAACAGAACCTAGAGACAGAACCTAGTGAGAGAACCTGGCTGAAGAACCTAGAGACAGAACCTGGCTACAGAACCTGGATAGAACATGGCAAGAGAACCTGACTAGAAACTGGTGACTGAACCTGGCTGGAGAACCTGGACAGAACCTGGCTGGAGAACCTAGAGCAAGAGAATATGGACACAGAACCTGGCTGGAGATCCTGAGCAGAACCTCTCTGGAGATCCAGACCAGAACTTGGCTGGAGATGCTGGCTGGAGATCGTGGCTAGGCTGCTGACCAACTGAACACTGTCTCTGTGTCCTTCCGTCTTTGCCGACTTCGTCCACACCTTTGGGGACCCCTGGACCTGCTGGGGTTGGACCCCGGCAGAAAAGTGCTATGGCTTTTAGATTATCTAGACTACTCCCCACTGAAGCTAGTATCCTATATAATAAAAGCCCAGTGACCAAAATGGCAGAACGACTAGAGACCAGAATGACAGTGGCCCCTCGCCCCGGCTGCCCTACTCCCCAGTGGGGACCCCTACCCTGATCGGGGGAGTGGTAGGCTGGCAAATCACCTGCGGCCCCTTGCCCCAGCCAGCCCCACCCCCCAGGGGGACCCCAGCCCAATCCGGGGCCCCCATCAGGGCAGGCTGGCTGGCCCCCACCTGTGCACAGGGCCTCTATTCTATATAATAAAAGGATAATATACAAATTGATCCTAATAGTGGAATGACCAGAACGATTGCTCGACTAGTCACTATGAGGCGCACTGACCATCTTTTGGTCCCTTTCCCTGACCGGCAGGCTCCAATTGCCCGATGATGAACGGGGAACCGGGGGTGGGTGGTGGCAGGGGACACGGGGGTGGGGGGAGGGGAGGAGTTGAGGGTGGTGGTGGTGGGGGGGGGGGGTGGGCTGGCTGCAGGCAGCTGGAGAAGATGGCCCTGATCACAGGCCAGGCCTAAGGATTGTACCTGCACACGAATTTCATATGCCGGGCCTCTAGTTTACTATAAAAGTATACTGACCACACTGTTATCTACTATATCACTGAGGAAAGCAAGCATTCTGAAATTTCCATTGTAAGACTGTGTGTGTGTGTGTGTGTGTGTGTGTGTGTGTGTGTAATGAATGTTTATTACAGAGACTGCTGAAGAAGAAAAGAGATAGGCACAGACCCATTGCAAAAGGACTGGAAGCAGAAGTCAGCAATAGCACAAAAAGCAAATGGGATCCTCCTATTAAGCTTTGCTCTGTGCAGAGGAAGGCTCTACTGGGGTACTCTTAGGGTTTTAGTGCCTAAGGCACTACATGAAGATGAGATCTCAATTCAAGTAGACTAGAGACTAGGGGATCACATTAGAGGCAGAAACATTTGTTATGTGAGTTTTTACACCATGAAGTAGATGATTTCTGTTTCATATAGTGTCTTATTTCCCCAAGTTCCCTGAAGCTTTGGTCTTTTCCAATTGCTATTAAGGCTAGTATCCCTATCTGTGCCTACCTTGGTTAGATTAGAACGTCCAATTTCTATGGCCTAACTAGCAGGAAGTAGGGAGGAAAGTGGGGTAACTCCCACTCAATGTAGGGCTAGATTAGGGAGGTGTGTCAGAGGTCACCAAAAACTTTCCATGGGCTTAGAGAAAAAAATCAAACCAAGCATTAGTTACCTAATTTCGAGTGTACCTAATGCTGAGCTATACAACCGGGCCTTGGATAACCTCATTAAGTATTTGTCCTTGGACTGAATGCATGAAGCAGCTTTAAAAAAAAAAAAAAAATTGTATTGATTTCAGAGAAGAAGGGAGAGAGAGATAAAACCATCAATGATGAGAGAGAATCATTGATTGGCTGACTCCTGCATGCCCCACACTAGGGATCGAGCCCACAACCCAGGCATATGCCCTGACTGGTTATCGAACCGACTTCCTGGTTCATAGGTTGACACTCAACCACTGAACCATGCCAGCCAGGCTGCATGAACCATCCTAAAAAAATACAAATGAACAAAGTGTTCAGTAGTATATATATAGTTGAATTGTTTAACTTGGCATTTATGTGGCCAAATCCTGGACATACTGAATTGTGTCAAGGTATTAAAAGGAATAAGCCACTCCACAGAGAATTATTGAGAAACTAACATCAGACTTTCTAAATCAAAAGGAAATCATTATTCTAGAAATAATATAAATCCTTCAAAAATAGTTTTCAATTACTATTGTTTAGTTAAGAAAATTGTGCTTTAGGAGGTTATAAAAATCACTACTTATATTACATGTAAACTAGAAATAGCCAACCAAAATTTTAGATGAAATGACTTAAAATGCTAACAACTAACTTTCTCTAATCTTTCACTAGTAGCAACTAATTAACATTTATAAATCTTCTTGAACAAAGTTAGCTAAGAATGTGTAAGGAGTCCTCATTTCTAAAAAGATCTTCTCAAACAGTAACATTAAGAAACTGAAAAACATATAAACACCCCATTCACTAACTTATGGAAAAAAATTTCAGCGATTTTTCAAAGGACTTGAGTATATTTACTCACAAAGAAAGAAAATACAAGAATGGAAAACATCCACAGGATAGACAAGTGATATATGTTCTGGGACGCACATGTTAAAGAGATTACAGAACTCAGACAATGATTTTGACTCAAAGATTTTTGGCAACACAGAAGGAAAATACACTGGGTTTTTGTTTACTAAACATTCATATTCATATTTGTAGGGGACAAAACTTTTACTAAAACTAAACTCAAATTGAAATTTCTTCCATGATATAAAGAATGAGTGACGTCGTAAAGAGTATTTCTTAGTCATGGCTTTACAGACGTTTCAGATAGGGAAAAATCATTCAACTGGTATTTCTGGGAAGGATTCTATAAAGAGAGTAACATTAATTATAATTCAATAAATACTGAGTTATACAATACTTAGCAAAACACAAAGTCTTTAACATTTCATTGTACTTTTTTGGGGGGTGTCATTAGAGGAGGCTTAGAAAACAAACATTTATTTCTCACAGTTCTGGAGGCAGAAAAGTACAAGATCAAGGTGCTGGCAAGTTCTGTTCTGGTGAGAACTTGTGTCCTGGTTTGTAGACGGCTGTCTTCTTGTTGCATCCTCACATGGCAGGGAGTGTTTTATTGTACTTTTAATAAGGCACATTGCATTCCCTAATTACTAACACTTATTTTTATATGTTTTTATATCCTGCTTATCAATTTTTAATTGCATCATAATTTTATTGTATGTATTCTTCTGTAAATTGTCTCAAATATTTAATGAAGTAAAGCAGTATCATAAACAAAAACTACCAAAAACATAACTTTGCTTTTCATAGGAACACAAGGATTTAACTATGTGGATGCCTTACTCATGCCTTCTCCCCTTCCCCAACCCGGGCAAGCTAGTAGAATTTCCTTTAGTTGATTTATAAAGCGTACAAAAAAAGAGAAAGTTTCCTGACATAACAACTGAACTCAGTAGGGCATACAACTTTATCTATCCTTCCTATGGATGAAGTTTTTACAATGGTATTATGATTAATATGGCAAATGTGGATATCAGAGTGAAACACTATATACTTGGTGAAATAGATTAATAATAAACAACACAATGGAACATTTATTTTAAAAAAAGATCTTACCTTTTGTTGTGTTGTGGGACCCAGTGACTTAGGTGGAAAAGTACAAGGTATTCTTCCATGATGTATATGATATGGTAACAACAGATTGGGGTCTAATGGAACCCAGGGAACTGAGAGACTGGAAGGTACAGCAGGAAGGCTGCAATGTGTTTTATGCAAATTGTATGCTGTCCTAGTAACTTTTCCATCAGAGGTCTTGTAGATCAGGAGAGAAGAATCTTCTGCTGCATGGGACAACAAGTAGGAACCCTCCTGCAAGCTAAATCCACAGAATAAAACTCAACTCAGTGTGTCAATTTTAATAACATTTTCTTAATCATGGTCTATGAGTAAAATAAAAAACAATATGGGAATAGAGTATCACCTCTAAAAATACTTTTATGACCAAATAAGATTTAAGAAGTCTTTTAAACTATTTTCACATCTTTTAGGTAACTAATTTTAATTCTTATTCCAAAGTTCAAGATATATAATTATTTTCATTTTACTGTCTTATCAGCCACTTTGTAAGTTTTCAATAATTTAATGGGAAACAAATAGTCTGCCTAATTCTCTAATCCATGGACAACACATTTATACAGAAAGACATTTCATGAATGTACATTTTTATAATCCTTATACAGAACATTTTAATTAATTCAACCAACATTGCACCTACTTTGTATTTAGTAATAGGTGAAGAGAGATACAAAAATGAATGTGACACATTCACCACACTTAGCAGTTTAAAAGAAAGTAGCAGAAACAGTCAACAATCACAATACAATATGAGGTGCTACAAAAATAAGAGTAACAATAACAGTTGATATATATTGAATGTTTATCATGAGTTAACTCTTGTACTGCTTATATCCATTTTATTACTATATCCTCCACAACAAACCTTCAAGGCATAATATTATTAACCCTATCTATCTATCTATCTATCTATCTATCTATCTATCTATCCATCCTAATAATAGACAAACATGGTAATTAACCATATCTCCGACACGCTTCCCATTGGCTAATCAGGGCGATATGCAAATTAACTGCCAACCAAGATGGCGGCCGGCAGCGAGGCAGCTGAAGCGAACAGGAGGCTTGGTTGCCCCGGCGATGGAGGAAGCCAAGGTTCCCCACCTGCCGCCGGCTCTAAGCTCCTGAAGCAACAGCTCCAAAAGATACAATGTTTCAATTATAGAAGCTAAAAGATGGCGGTTAATTTGCATATGCAGGCTCCAAGCGGTGGAGCGAAGCCAAACAGCCCCGAAGCTGCAGAGCGGCAAGGCCTCACCACCCCGGGATCAGCGGAGCCGCGAGGCCTCAGGGCCCCGCGATCAGCGGAGCTGAGAGGCGTCCCGCCCAGGATCACTAGAGCTGAGAGGCGTCCCGCCCGGGATCAGCGGAACGGAGAGGCCTCCCGGCCCGGGATCAGCTGAGTGGAGAGGCCTCCCAGCCTGGGATCAGCGGAGCCACGAGGCCTCAGGACCCCGGGATCAGCGGAGCGGAGAGGCCTCCCGGCCCCGGGATCAGAGGACCAGAGAGGGCTCCTGGCCCCTGGAGCAGTGTCATGGGGGTGGCGCTGCAACCCCCAGATAGGCCCTGCTCTGTGGGTGACAGGGGGCAGTACCCCAACCCCCTTATTGGCCTTGATTTGTGGGTGACAGCGGCGGCGCCCCAACCCCCTGATCAACCCTGCTCTGTGTGTGACAGGGGGGAGCTCCCCAACCCCCTGATCAGCCCTGTTCTGTGGGTGACAGGGGGCGGCACCCCAACCCCCTGATCGGCCCTGCTCTGCATGACAGAGGCAGTGCCACAACCTCCTGATTGGCCCTGCCCTGAGTGTGACAGGGGGCTGCGCCCCAACACCCCCCCATCAGCCCTGCTCTGTTCCTGACAGGGGGCAGTGCCCCAATCCCCTGATCGGCCGGCTTTGTGTGTGACAGGAGGTGGCGCCACAACCTCCCGATCCACCCTGCTCTGTGTGTGACAGGGGGCAGTGCCCCAACCCCCTGATCGGCCAGCTCTGTGTGTGATAGGGGAAGGTGCCCAACCCCCTGATCTGCCCTGCTCTGTTCGTGACAGGGGGTGGCACCACAACCTCCCCATCGGCCCTGCCTTGAGTGTGACAGGGGGCAGTGCCCCAACCTCCCAATCCGCCCTGCTCTGTGCATGACAGGGGGCGGTGCCCCAACTCCCCAATTGGCCCTGCTCTGAGCCCGACCAGGGGCTGCAGGGCAGGCACCTAGGGATTGAGCCTGCCCTCTGCCACCCGGAAGTGGGCCTAAGCCAGCAGGTCGTTATCCCACGAGGGGTCCCAGACTGTGAGAGGGCACAAGTGGGGCTGAGGGACACCCCCCCTGCCAATGCACAAATTTTTGTGCACCGGGCCTCTAGTCTATATATAAAAGACTTATATGCAAATTGTCCCCCTGAGAGTTCAATCACTTGCTATGATGTGTGCTGACCACCAGGGGGAGGCATGGAACGAAGGAAGGCCCCAGCTGGCAGCCTGGGAAGGGAGGCCTGGGCCGGCAGCTGGAAAGCCCTGATCGGCCCTGAAGGCTGGCCAGGCCTAGGGACCATACCCATGCACAAATTTCATGCACCGGGCCTCTAGTACTAGGGACCCTACAGATACACGAATTTCTTGCACCAGGTCTCTAGTACTAGAGATAAATGGGAATTAGAGATGGTAAGCAATATGCCCAAAGTTCTGAGTATAAGCCTTGGATAAAAATCAGACAATTGAACTCCACAGGCCATACCCTTAGTCATAATCTCCATTGTCACAGTAATCAGATCTGTCAAACATCAAATGTATATTTTTCCTTAGAAAGTGTATCAACATAAAGAGCTAAAAGAATATGATTAATATACTGTGCTTTCTTAGGATTTTACACTCTTTCAGCTCAAAAGTGCTAAGGAGAACATCAGTTTTCCCCCATAATATGTCATTAAAAATAAGAATTAATCATACTTTAGTGTTATGGATCTGCCTACAAACCTGATAAGTTACGTTTTCATTAAATTTTTAAACAGAAAAGTAATAGACCAAGGTGGCACAGAATATTCTTACTCTGGAGCATTTCTTTACCAAACCATCACTTTCATATTTCCATATAAAGAAATGAATAATAGTTGATTTGGTAATAGGAATAAATAATATTTTAAAGATTGACATTTCATCAATGAAAATCATAGCTTAACTAACTTCACTAAAAATAAGGGTGGCTTTGGTTTACAGAAAGAATTTATAAAAATGAGACAGGTGCTCCAAAGAAGAGTATCTTAAAAGTGCCACAAAAGTACAATATACACGATGAATAAAATGGCCTCCCCAAAATGCCTATGTCCTAAACCCTAGAATCTGTGAATATGTTACACTACATGGCAAAGGAGAATCAAGATGAAATTCAGGTTCCTAATCAGCTGATTTTAAAACAGTAAGATTTTCCTGGGAGTTTACCTTAGTGCGCCCATTATAATCATAAGAGTCTTTATATGTAGAAAAGGGAGGCAGAAGACACTCAGAGAGAGATGCGACTGTGGAAGAGGTCAGAGTGATGTGATGTGAGGAGGACTCAATTTGCCTTTGAAATTTTGAAGATGGAGGAAGAGGAGCATGAGCCAAGGAAGCAGGTGGCCTCTAGAATACACAAACATCAAGGAAACAGAACACACCAGAGCCTTACAGAAAAAAAGCTGCCCTGCAATGCCTTGATTTGAGCCCAGGGAGACCTGTTAGACTTCGGACTTATAGAACTGCAACATAACAACTTCGTGTTGTTCTACAACACCAATTTTGTGGTAATTTTTTTTACATTTGCAGTAGACCTAATACAGAAACTAAGACAGTGATAATAAAATTTCATAGAAAACTCTAAAGACTCAACCAAAAAACTAGATTTAATAAGTGAATTCAAGAAAGTAGCAGGATACAAAAGTAACACCCAGAAATTGATGGCATTTTTGTTTTGTTAATCCTCACCTGAGTATATTTTTTCAATTGATTTTAGATAGAGTGGGAGGGAGGGAGGAAGGGAGAGAGGGGAGAGAGAAAGAGAGAGAGAAAGAAGGGGGGAGTGGAGTGGAGGGGAGGGGAGGGGAGGAGAGGGGAGGGGAGGGGAGGGGAGGAGAGCCATCTATTGGGTGCCCTCCACATGTGCCCTGAAAACTATAGGACATTGAAAAAAGAAACAGAGAAAGATACAAACAAGTGGAAGCATATACTGTGTTCATGGATTGAAAGAATAACATCTTTAATGTTATGGACATTTTAATATGTCCATACTACCCAAAGCAATTGACAGACACAATGCAATTCCTATTAAAATACCAATGGCATATTTCAAAGATCTAGAACAAATATTCCAAAAATTTATATGGAATCAAAAAAACCTCGAATAGCCTCAGCAATCTTGAGAAAGAAGAACAAAGTTGGAGGGATCATAATACCAGATATCAAACTATACAAACAAAGCCATTGTAATCAAAACAGCCTGGTACTGACACAAGAACATGCATATAGAACAATGGAATAAAGCAGAGACCCCAGAAATCAACACACAATATTATGGTCAACTAATATTTGACAAAGGAGGCAAGAGCATATAATGGAGTAAAGATAGTCTTTTCAATAAATGGTGTTGAGAAAATTGGACAGGTACATGCAAAAAAACCCCAACAGAAAACAAAAAGAAACTAGACCACCAACTTACACTATACATAAGAATAAACTCAAAATAGATAAAAGGCTTAAATGTAAACCATGAAGCCATAAAAATCCTAGAAGAAAACATAGGCAGTAAAACCTCAGACATCTCATGTAGCAGTATTTTTGCAAATACATCTCCTAGGGCAAGAGAAACAAAGGAAAAAATAAACAAATGAGACAAGATCAAACTAAAAGCTCTGTACAACAAAAGAAACCATCCAACAAAATGAAAATGGAACCCACTATATGGGAGAACATATTTGCAAATGACATATCTGATAAGGGGTTATTTTCCAAAATATATAAAGAACTCATACAACTCAACACCAGGAAGGCTAACAATTCAATTTAAAAATGAGCAAAGTGAATATACACTTCTCCAAAGAGGACAAACAGATGGCCAAGAGACATATGAAAAAATTCTCAAGGTCACTAATAATTAGAGAGATGAAAATAAAAACTATAATGAGATATCACCAGACACCTGTCAGAATGCTACCATCAATAAATCAACAAATAACAGAGCTGGCGAGGATGTGGAGAAAAAAGAACCCTAGTACACTGCCGGTGGGAATGCAGACACTGTGGAAAACAGTGTGGTGTTTCCTCAAAAAATTAAAAATGGAACTGCCCTTTGATCCAGTGATCCAACTTCTGGAAATTTATCCTGAGTCCCGATATACCAATCAGAAAGAAAATATGCACCCCTATGTTTAGAGCAGCGTTATTTACAATAACTAAGATCCCAAGTGCCCATCAGTAGATGAGGTATCCACTCATCTGTGGTACATTTACACCATGGAATGTAGTTAAACCTTGCTACAAGGAACTAATTCAGGTGAGGGGGTGTCTGTTAAAGCTGAAGTCTGTTATAGAATAAAGTAAATTTTCCAAATATATATGTTAAAAATTTGACAAATTAGTTTACCTGTTTTTACTTATCCTATCTAGTTAAGAGGGAATATGCTAATTGACCCTCATGCCATCGCAAAGATGGTGGTGCCCACAGCCAATAAGGAGGGGGATATGCTAACTGACTGCCCCGCCCTCAAAGATGGCAGCACCCACAGCCACAAGATGGCAGTGCCCAGTACCCTCAGTCCTGCTGGGGAATTAGTGAGGACAACCAAACGACTGAACAGCAGGCTGTGTAGGGCAACCAGGCTGGTGGGTGGCCATGAGGGGCGACCAGGCTGGTGTGGGGGGGCAGTTGGGGGCAACTTGGCTGGAGGGGGAGGGAGGCAGTGAGGGGAGACTAGGCCAGTGGGGGGGACAGTTGGGGGTGACCAGGCTGGCAGGGTTGGGTAGTTAGGGCCAACCAGGCAGGCAGGCAGGTGAGCGATTAGGAGCCAGCGGTCCAGGATTGTGAGAGGGATGTCCCCCGACGGGTCCCGGATTGGAGAGGGTGCAGGCTGGCTGAGGGGACCCCTCCCTCCTGTGCATGAATTTTGTGTACCAGGCCTCTAGTGTAGACATGTTTGTGTAATTAAAATCAAACATGTATGAAAAGTTTAGTTTCACTGAAAAGTTTTCTGTATGTATTACTGTAATTTTAAATTTATAGTGAATAGGTCTAGTAAATGTGTGTATTCACCAGTCACCTCTAGTGACAAAACAAATGCATACAGCTAGGGCATGGCATAGTGCACATGGGAACATCTGCTGGCAGGCATTCAATTGCTGCAGAAAGTCACGCAATGCCACAACAGAATCAATTACCTCCCGTGCTAATTGATCACATGCTAATCATTTGCTGAACATTGTTCTTGCAGATAACTGTCGATATGTAATATGTAGTTACATCGGTGAAATTAATACAGTGTTTTCCCCAATATATGGCCTATATGCAAAAATTTATTAAAAATAACAGTGAATTGGTAACAATAACAAAAAACCTTTTAATTTAATTATAAGCAAATCTTATTAAAAGCATTTTAATATCATTAGGGTGTTAATTTTCACATGACATATGGACTGGAAATTTTGTCTGTTAAATCTGAAGTCCACCAAATCAAGGGTTTATGGTACTATGTGGCCGTAAAAAAGAAGGAACTCTTACCCTGTGTGACAGCATAGACCTGGGGAGTATAATGCTAAGCAAATAAGCCAATTAGAGAAAGACAAATATCACATGACCTCACTTATATGTGGAATCAAATGAACAAAATAAACTGACAAACAAAATGGGTCAAAAGGCATGGATATATGGGATAGACTGACTCAAATTATATCTCAGTAGGGAGGCGGGTGGGAGGGATGAGAGAGATTAACTAAAGAACATATATACATATATGCATAGCCCATGGACACACATAATAGTGTGGTGAAAGCTTGGGGTGGGGTGGGGGGCTGGGTGGAGAGGAGCAAAAAGGGAGAAAATTGGGGACAACTGTAATACTCCCGACAATAAATAAATTTAAAAAAATTTCATGTATAAGCATTGTTTTATATGAATAACAGAATATATAAAATAAAAATCCTGCTACAGAATCACAGAATCTGAGAACTGAAAAGTACCTAGAAAATTACTGAACTCAACACCATCATTTCATAAGTAGGAGAGTTAGAACTTTGAGATTTTTGATCAGACTCTTTCTTGAATTGTTTTTTAGTTTATCTTTTGGTAAGGGCATAACAGAAAGACACAAAAGTTCATGCAACAAGTTCACTTATTTAGTTTGATAAATGATTGGGTGGAGAATCCATATTCTAATATTTTCCATGGAGCTAATGACTTTTAATCACTAGTCTATGTTGCTTCCTTACCCTGAAAATGTGAACAATATATATCTATGGTAGGCTGAATAACTGTCACCCAGGATGTCCACATTCTAATCTCCAGAACTGTTAATGTTACGTTTAATGGCTTTGCAAATGTGACAAGGAAAGCAGAAATTTGAGTGATTTGCTTTGAAGATGGAGATAGGAGTCAAAGGCAAGGGATACAGGCAGCCACTAGAAGCTGAAAAGTAAGGCAAGGAAATGATTGTCCCCTCAGAGCCTCCAGAAGGAACCAGCCCTGCTGACATGAGTTTAGTCCAATGGAAGATGATTTCAGGTTTCTGACCTGCAGAACTGTAAGAGAATACACTGTGTTGTTCTAAGTTTGTGGTAATCGTATGTTACAGTGGCAATAGGAAACCAATAAAATAAGCCTTATAGAAAAATGTAAATATTATCTTTTTAGTTATATTTTCACAACTTCAACTTTGACACACAAAAATAGATCTTCTGTGTTATATTATATTTATTCCTAACAGCACATATTCAAAGTTTGTATTCTTGAATTTTCATCCAAGAAAATCAGACATATCAATGAAACTTTCCAAAAAATACTTACCTACTTAATTTCTTTAGAATGTGTTGGAGGATATTAAATAAACTTGAAATCCTAGAAAATGGAAGAAATTCATGTATAATTAAACAACAAAAAAACCCCCTTACTCTTAACAATTATAGATCTTTAGGAAGAGAAATGCCCTCAGAAAACAGCTAAAACACAGAATACCAAAATTTATTTCTAATTTGATTAAAGTATAATATTTACTTATTTTTTTGCCATTTCCTGTGTTTTCTTCAAAATCACCAAGGAATGGCTTTTGTTAGAGCAGTTGTAAGGAGATCACTACTTTATGTTCAAATTATAAACTTTTAAAAATGTTCAGATGTCTTTAGCAGAACCAATCTGCATAAGAGCTTGCCTTTTAGAAATGGCCCTAAATTAGCTTCCAAAGAAATTGAGAGATACTTTAAATTTAGAGAAATTGAGTGATGCCAGAGAATCCACTGACAGGGGACAGGATAAAGACAAATGAAATATAAGGTATTTCTTTATACCTTTTCTAAACCTAAACTCATTGCCTTTCTTATTTATTTAAAAATGGTTTTCACTGGGTGATGTGGGACAGGTGCTGAATAATGTACACAAAAACTTTACGTATGTAAATGTATGTAAATGTGATGTATGAAAAAGCTTTACATAGGTTACCCCTGGAAAGAAGCAATTCTTATATTTGAAGTGGACATTTATAAGTTCAAGCAGAGAAATAAAGTTTGAAAAACTGTGTCAAGCCTCAAGGCTGGAACTATGCAACTAGTGTAAATCAGGACAATTTCTCATCCTAAGTGGTAAATCAAATATATTATCTACCAAGGATGTCACTAGCTTAGCTGTCTGCTCCGGGGCAATTCAGAGTCCCAGTTTCCTTACATATAAAATGGAGATAATGCTACCACCAGTCCTTCCTAGAAATTTGGGAGGTGCAAATTACATAATGCTCATAAGTTATTTCCTTTGCATTTATTGTTCTGAGTAAATTCATTTCACTCTGATGTACAGAAATGCTTGGTAGAGGGATAAACTTTTAGAAATTAGTACGTCTAAATGAGTATATACAATCCTGAGAGCTAAGAGCCTGTGACTGTCCTTTTCTTTCCCATCCCTGAAAAGGGGTGCAATGTATGGTTCTGTGCACCTCCAAGATGCTGGGCTACTCTTTGCTCCAGCCTCTGCTGTCTTACGTAGAAAGACTGGTGCCACTGGCATTATATTTAATTTGGAGATTGAGATTAATATGGATAGATCACAAATTGTGTCAGGAGAAGCCTTAATGTATAAAAGGCTTAAAAGTTTTAAAAATGGAAGTATTTAAACTTGACCAGTATTTAGAAATAAAGAAAAATTTGTGGTCATATTAACAAGTTTAACAATCACTACCACAAAGTAAACTTTCTTACTTGAGTGCTGAAATTTTTTCTTTTAATTCTTCTGAGGTAATTTCTTCTAGCAAGAAAAGTTTTGAAGTAAAAGCATCAATATGACCTAAAATAAAATATAAAACTTAAAAACAATTGTAGCATTTAAAAAACTAAAAACCAAGTTATCCAGTCTCTTTAAAGATCTATAATAATAAAAGCATAATATGCTAATTAGACCAGATGTCCTTCTGGACAACCTTCCAGATAAAGCCAGACCTTCGAGCGAAGCCCAGGTCCTGCCAGAGGGAAGCCAGTGCCACCAGCCGGGGGAAGGAAGGCCTACTCTTGCATGAATTTTGTGTTTTGGGCCTCTAGTGTTTTTATAAAACTGTAATAACTGTAAAGAATCTTTACATTCCAAAAGAGTTGTTTTAAAAATGTGCTGAATGTAGAAAAGGTTACGTGTGTCAACACCAAAAACAAAGAGAGAAATAATCTCTAAATCCACAATTTATCCTATCTAATAAAAGAGTAATATGCAAATTAACTGTCACTCTGACACAAAGATGGCAGCACCCATAGCCACAAGATGGCAGCGCCCAGTCCTCTCAACCCCACTGGAGTCCTCCAGTCCCGGGGGGCAGCCGCTGAGAGCAGGGCCTGCTTGGCCATCACCCACAGCAACCCAGGAGCAGCCAAGCAGCCCCCATAGACAGCAGAGAACCATGGGGAGCAGGCCTAAGCCATCAGTAGGACATCCCCTGAGGGCTCCCGGATTGGAGAGGGTGCAGGTTAGGCTGAGGGACCCCACCTCCACCCCCCGTGCACGAATTTCATGCACCGGGCCTCTAGTATATATATAAAACCCTAATATTCAAATAGACCAAACAGCAGAACAGAATAACCGGTTGCTATGATGTGCGCTGAACACCAGGGGGTGTGCACGGAACATGGAGGGCATTGGCCATGGCAGGATGGTGGAGCAGGTGAGTGGGGGCTGTCATCAGGAAGAGCCTCTGGTGGTTACTGAAAATTCTTTGCTCTTGCGTGCCATGGTCCCCTGCCTGGCACTCATGCCTGCTGCCGGCACCGGAGCCGCTGTTCACACCCACTGCCGGCGCCGGCCCTGATCACCCCTCAGGGCTGCTCCACTTCCCCCTGCTCCTAAGGGGTGATCAGAGCTGGCAGCCGCCTCTCACACCCGCTGCCAGCGCCAGCCCCACTTGTACCCACAGCTGGTGCTGGAGCTGCTGCTTGCACCCGCTGCTGGCGCTGGTCCCAATTGCTCAGCACCATCAGTGGATGCAAGCAGGGCCGGCACCACCAGCCACACCGGCTGCCGGCAGAGAGGGGAACGGGGGCCATGGTGGGAGGGGACAAGAGGGGGCATGGAGGATGGGCCAAGAAACCCCCGCTCCCCACTGCAGCCTCATGGCCCACAGTTCCTTTCATGGTACACAAATTTATGCACTGGGCCCCTAGTGTAAGAATAACAACTTAAAATATTGGTGCTTCTAATTGCTATAAAAGTTGAATTTTTATGGAGATTCAATTTTTAGAGAAATATTGTATTTATTATCAAAGTAAAAGAATAAAATATGTTTTGGACACTCTCGACACATCCCTAAGACATACTTGGTTCTTAAGATAAAAATTAAGATTATAAAATGCCATCTTAATTATTCACAATAGCCAATATATGGAAACAACCTAAGTATCTATCAACAGAAGAATGGATAAAGATGTGATATATATACAGGAGGAAGAAGGAAATCCTGCTGTTTATGACAATGAAGATAGATCCTGAGGGCATGAAGCTAAATGAAATGAGTTAGACAAAGATAAAAACTGCATGGTTATCACTTGTACAGAAAATCTAAAAAAAAAAAATGAGTCAAACTTTTAGAAATAGAGAGTAGAAAAGTGAGTGTTTCCCAGGGAAGGGAAAACAGGGAACTAGCAAGAGGTTGGTAAAAGGGTACAACATTCAGCTATAAGATAAATAAGGTCTAAGGATCTAATGTATAAATGGTGATTATGGCTGATAACACTATTTTATAATTAAAATTTGACAAAATAGAACTTAAATGTTCTCATTAAAAATTATAAATATAAATATGTGAGGAGATATGTTAATTAACTATATGGGAGAAATCCTTTCACAATGTATAGGTATATCAAATCATCAAGATGTACAGTTTAAATATCTTTCTACTTTGTAAATTATATTTAAACTAGAGGCCCGGTGCACAAAAATTTGTGCACTCGGGGAGGAAGGGGGCGTACCTCAGCCTGGCCTGTGCCCTCTCGCAGTCTGGGACCCCTCGGGAGATAACGACCTGCTGGCTTAGGCCTGCTCCCGGGTGTCAGAGGGCAGGCCCAATCCCTAGGTGCAGCCCCTGGTCGGGCTCAGAGCAGGGCTGATTGGGGTGTTGGGGCACCGCCCCCTGTCATGCACAGAGCAGGGTGGATCGGGAGGTTGCGATGCCACCCCCAGTCACGCTCAGGGTAGGGCTGATTGGGGGGTTGGGGCACCGCCCCCTGTCACACTCAAGGCAGGGTTGATGGGGAGGTTGCGGCGCCACCCCGTCATGCACAGAGCAGGGCCAATTCGGGGGTTGGGGCGCTGCCTCCTGTCACACACAGAGCAGGGCCCATCAGGGGGGTTGGGGCTCCTTACCCTGTCACGCATGGAGCAGGGTCGATCAGGGGTTTGGGGAGCTCCCCCCTGTCACGCACAGAGCAGGGCCCATCAGGGGGTTGAGGAGCTGCCCCCTGTCACTCAGAGAGTAGGACCGATAGGGGAGTTGGGGCGCCGCCCCCTGTCACACACAGAGCAGGGCCAATCAGGGGGTTGGGATACCGCCACTGTCACACTCAGGGCAGGGCCGATGGGGAGGTTATGGCTCTACCCCATCACAGAGCAGGGCCCGTGGGGTGGGGGGGGTTGTGGCGCCACCCTCTATCACCCACAGAGCAGGGCCGATCAGGGGGTTGGGGCGCCGCCACTCTCACACTCAGGGCAGGGCCGATGGGGAGGTTATGGCACTACCCTGTCACACACAGCGCAGGGCCCATGGTGGGGGGAGCAGTTTGGGGCGCCGCACCCTGTCACACACAGAGCCACAGGGCGATCAGAGGTTGGGGTGCTCCCCCATATCAGGCACAGAGCAGGGCTGATCAGGAGGTTGGGGCGCCTTCCCCTGTCACAAACAGAGCAGGGCGGATAGGGAGGTTGTGGCCCCGCCCCCTGTCACACACAGAGCTGCAGGGCAATCAGGGGGTTTGGGCGCTGCCCCCTGTCACGCTGATCCTGGTGCTGGGAGGCCTCTCGGCTCCGCTGATCCAGTGCTGGGAGGCATATTACCCTTTTACTATATAGGATAGAGGCCTGGTGCATGGGTGGGGCTGGCTGGTTTGCCCTGAAGGGTGTCCTGGATCAGGGTGGGGGTCCCCACTGGGGTGCCTGGCCAGCCTGGGTGAGGGGATGATGGCTCTTTGCAGCTGGTCACACACCATTCAGGGTGGGGGTCCCCACTGGGGTGCTTGGTCAGCCTGGGTGAGGGGATGATGGCTGTTTGCAGCTGGTCACACACCCTTCAGGGTGGGGGTCCCCACTGGGGTGCCTGGCCAGCCTGGGTGAGGGGCTGAGGGCTGTTTTCAGGCTGGCGGGTGACGGAAGCTCCCAACCGCTCCTTTCTTTTTTTTTTTTTTTTTTTTTTTAATTCTGAGCTAGCTTTAGCTCTCAGGCTCCAGCTCTTAGGCCTCCGCTGCTGAAAGTAGGTATCTGGTTTGTTTCGGTTCGAAACAATGTATAAATCCAGCTCTGACTCCAGCTCTGAGATCCCAGCTCGCTGAAAGCTGGTTTCTGGGGTTTTTTTTAGCTTCTATATTTGTTAAAATGTTTCAAACTACAGGCTCAGAGGCCTGCAAGGCAGGCGGGGAACATTGGTTTCCTCCGTCACTGAAGTAAGCAAGCCTCATGTTAGTTTCAAGCTGCCTGTCTGCCGGCTGCCATCTTGGCTGACAGTTAATTTGCATATCGCCCTGATTAGCCAATGGGAAGGGTAGTGGTTGTATGCCAATTACCATGTTTCTCTTTTATTAGATAGGATAACTTACCATTTTGCCAATTATACCTCAGTAAAGCTGAAAAAAATCTGGCTTATTTTTAATTAAAGCACAGATAAGATTTTTTATGGTTAAAAATAAAATCAAAACAGTATATTCAAAGTTTTACTTTCTTCTGAACATGGCATAAATCTATAATTCCAAAAAACAAAATGGCAAATTTTCAAGATTACACTTCTATTTTACAAAGTAATTCATAATTTCTGCAAAATAGGTGGAGATAAAACACTGAAACCCTGAAATGTACCAAGGAAGAGTGGTATAAAAGACCTGAGTTATATGTTAGATAATCACGCCAATATAAAATCCATGTTACAGCCTGGCCAGCGTGGCTCAGTGATTGAGTGTTGACCTATGAACCAGGAGGTCACGGTTCAATTCCTGGTCAGGGCACATGCCCAGGTTGTGGGCTCAATCCCCAGTGGGGAGCATGCAGGAAGCAGCCAATTGATGATTCTCTCTAACATTGATGCTTCTATCTCTCTCTCTCCCTCTCCCTTCCTCTCTGAAATCAATAAAAATATATTGAAAAAAATAACAAAACCAACAACAACAAAAAAACGCAAGAAGACAACCTACTGAATGGGAGAACATATTTGCCAATGATACAACTGATAAGGGGTTAATATCCATAAGTTATAAAGAACTCAGACAACTTAACACCAGAAAAACAAAAAACCCAATTTAAGAAGTGGACAAAAGTAAAAAGAAAGAAAATTTTACCCTTTGTGACAGTATAGATGTACCTAGAGAACATTATGCTAAGTGAAATAAGCCAGTCAGAGAAAGACAACTATCATATAATTTCACTCATATGTGGAATTTAATGCACAAACTGAACTACCAAGAAAAATAGAGACAGACTTATAGTTAGAGAGCATTAGGGGCGAGAGGTGAGGGAAGGGAAGTGCTGCTGGGAGGTGGGTAGAGGGACTGAGCAAAAGAAAAAAAGAGAACTCATGAACATGGATAACAGTGTGGTGATTGGGGATGGAGATGAGTAGACGTGAAAGAGGGCATAAAGGAAATAAATGGTGATGAAATAAAATAAATAAATACATAAATAAAGTAAATAAATAAATAAAATGTGGGCAAAAGCCCTGAATAGGTATTTCTCTGAGGAAGACGTACAGGTGACCAAAAGACATATGGAAAGTTGGTCAACATCACTAATCAACAGAGAAATGTAATTCAAAACCAAAGTTTCACCAGATTCTTAAACTGCTTATTGTTTAATGAAAAGATAGATTTACAAAACAATAAAGTAGAAAGCAACAAGTCATGAGAACATTAAAAAAAAAAAAGACAATGTATTGAGAGATCACAGGAAGAAAATGACTTAATAGAGGGGCAACTAGAGTTGGCTGGGATGGATTGAGATGTGTGGGATTAGGCATTCCACTGGGAGGGAACAATAGCAATAATTCTTCATGTGAAGTATGTTAACTATACATGATGTATAGTTGAACCCAGCCAACACAAATTAAATCCCTGCCTGACTACCTGCCCCCAAAAGATGCAAAACAAAAACAAACTTAAAGAAAAACTATTTCATCAGTATTAGAGATTTTAGCCTGGCTGGGGTGGCTCAGTGGTTGAGCATCGACCTATGAAGCTGGAGGTCATAGTTCAATTCCTGGCCAGGGTACATACCCAGGTTGTGGGCTCAATCTCCAGTGTGGGATGTACAGGAGGGAGCCAATCAATGATCCTCTCTCATCATTGATGTTTCTATCTCTCTCTTCCTCTCCCTTCCTCTCATCAATAAAAATACATTAAAAAAATATTTGAGATTTCAAAAACAGTGTCATTATAATTTTAAAAACATTTCAAAACATATGCTTAAACCAATGAAAAAGTACTTTTAAAGAAGCTCATTAGAAAACAACTCTATATTTTTAGTTTTTTACATTATTGAATAAAGTATTTTAAAAATAAAATGATTTGGTTGAGATTCATGTACAACTAAATAGATATGGGATAAGAGGGAAATTAAGACATTTGAGATCATCAGTCCCACACTGCCATGTAACTCTGAAGTAGGGAATGGTTTTTCAATAGGAACGTTAACACAATCAGAAAACTGAGAACAAAAAGTATAGAATAGACATGTATAATTGAATAAAAAAGTATGTACTTACAAGAGAATAAAAAAGGAGAACAAAGACTCTTATAAACTTACCAACATAAAAGGAGCTGTTGGAATGCAATAAACTTTCAGTCCATAGGCGACACAGTTCACTTTCAGTCAGAGCTTCAGCTCCGTAACAAGCTTGATACTCCACTTTTGGAAGAACATATACTGGGACTTGCTGAAATGTAAGGTTATACTGTTTCAAAAAGTTCCATTAACTTACTATTAACAGCAAATACATTTGCCTATACAGTTTTGCCACTTTCAAAATGCTTTCAAGTAATGTTATTTGATCCTTTTAAATACAGTGGGGTTCGGACAGAAAGACAGAACCCTTGTGGGTGAGAGGTGGATGAATAAGAGACCCTAACCACCCCCTTCCCCAGAAAACCCCATCCCAGTCAGTATTCCTCCCCACATGTGCCCCTTGATTTAATTTTATTGCTAAAAGCATTTTATTATATAATAATCTTTAGCAACTGGCAATCTGCATTTACTGCTGCCAGAGAATGTGACTGACAGCAGAAACCTTGAAACAAAGCCTATGATACAGGTTAAAAACCCAAAAGTTAAAAACCAGATTCTGGAAGCAATGACTGTGAAATATCCTAGTAATTTTCAAGAGGATTTAAAAAAGGTACTAATTTTTGCCCCTTTAAAGCATTAGTCACATTATCTAAGGCTCAAGTAGTCTGAGCAGCTTGTTTTCATTCTATGAATGTATGAGCATTAATACCTACATTAACATCTGTGAATGTCATTAGCTTCATTAATATAAAAGTTTTGTTTTAGATACTAACCACATGGAAAGTTATAGAGTTAGAGTTTATTGATCAGGACACTAAATAGATTAGGTAAATTACTGTACCCATTACTGGTCTGAAGGAGGATATGCAAGGAAATACATGCTTGTGAAATATCATATTAGTCATGTTCACTGTGCTCATGTTATCTCACTTCTGTCAAAGAAAATTCTACTGTTAATAGCAGCGTCTTCATTTCCAGCTGCAGAAGGAGAGACATGATTTATGGAACTTACTGAGTGATATTGCTACATAGTACTTCAAAATTATACTAAGCTGTCACTATTTATATACTTGAAAATATTTCATAAATGTTTCAGAATTCCTGATTTTCACAAAGTGGCCAATCTAATGAGCTTTGCACAACAGTGGTGGTAAGAACAATTCAAATCCAGTGAAATTTCTGGTAACATCAAGTTTGGAGGTTTGGTTTATATGATTATATGGTAACATGAATGTTATAAAACTCTAAAGTACTGTTTCTTAAATTTCAATGTGTATAGGAATAACCAGGTGATCTTATTAAATTGTAGAATCTGAGGTGTAGACTAAGGTTTTGCATTTTTAACAAGCTGTTATTCCAGGGACCAAACATGAGTAATAAGGCCCCTTGATTTAATTTTATTGCTAAAAGCATTTTATTGTATAACTAGAGGCTCAGTGTACAAAATTCGTGCACTGGTAGGGTCCCTAGTGGCTGCCAGATGCCAGCCGGGTACTCTCTCCCTTCCCCTGGCTGCCTGCCACTGCCGCAGGCCAGCTGAGGCCTCACTCCCTTCCCCTGGCCACCTGCCACTGCACTGGCCAGGGACTCCCTCCCTTCCCCCGGCCAGCCCCGCCGCCCTGGTCGAACTCGCAAAAGAATTCTGGTCAAGGGGACAATTTGCACACTACGCTTTTATTATATAGGACCAGAGGCCCAGTGCACAAAAATTTGTGCACTGGGGGTGGGTCCCTCAGCCTGGCCTGTGCCCTCTCACAGTCCAGAAACCTTCAGGGGATGTCTGATTGATGACTTAGGCCTAACCCACAGTCTGGCCTACCTCTATGGGAGGCAATCAGTGGGCCGATCAGGGGACTGTGCTGGCCAGCAAGTGGCTGGCCCAGTGTCCCCCGATTGCCCCTCTGCCGCTGCTGGTCGCTGCTGCCCCCTGATCGCCATCCCCTCCCTCTGCCCACTGGCACCCACCTTGGCTGGATCGCTTGCAGCTCCACCCTGCCACCGACAAGTCATTCTGCCATTCGGTCAATTTGCATATTAGGCTTTTATTATACAGGATAATTCTTCAGCAATTGGCAATCTGCATTTAAAATTACTTATAGTTGCAAATAGTAGCTAGAGATAAAGAAATGAAGATCCAGGTAGCTCAGTTGATTGGAGCACCTACTTATATACCAAAATGTTGTAGGTTTGATTCCCAGTCAGGGCACACACCTAGGTTGTGAGTGTCATCCCTGGTCAGGGCATGTACGGGAATCAATCGATCGATGTTTCTCTCTCACATCGATGTTTTTCTCTGTATCTCAAATCAACAAACATATCCTCAGGTGAGGATTAAAAAAAAAGAAGGCCCAAAGGGCTAAGGCATTTGCTCAAGGACACACAGCCAGTTTACAGCAGGGTTAGGAAAAGAACAACTGGGTGAAGAAGACCCCTTTCTGAATCATGACTAGATAACAGAGTTAAGATTTTTTAAAATAAGAAAATATTACTGTTTTTGAAAAGAAAGTACTTTGATACTTCAGAGGATTTTCTTTGTTAATAACTGCCATATCTGATTCTGGTTTTAAATTCTATATGTATTCTACTGCCATCTCCAGGAAGCCACAGGAAAGAAAGTCTGAATATTTTATCTTAGTATTCCAAAATTAAAGTGAAAGTTTAAATGCAATCAAAGTTTTCTAACTATAAAAATTAAATCTAGTAATTCCTTTCTCCCTTGATAAGTAGCTCCTATTTTCCCTAAGTAAAAGCTTTTCTTGGTTCTCTGTCTTCCAATTTTTCACATAAACCTTTTAAACTTTCACATACATTCCTAAATAGATACTTCAAAGCTATTTCCTGACACTGATCCCACTGGGTTCATTCTATTCAAGCACCTCCAATATCTTTTTTCTTCACCCTAGAATACCAATATAAATTACAAAATAATTGCATCTAAATTTTTGAATTATTTTAGAATATATCTCTTAGGAAATTTGGTTAACTGAGACAGATAATATCAAATCAAAGTTACTTGGTGTGGATTTCACAACTATGGGTATAACTCAGTAAGTTCTTGCTTCATCTTGTGGTCCAAATTAGCTCTCTTTATTTCATTCCATCATTTAGACTGGCTCCTGTTTTAAGTTCTCTAATGCGCAGTTCCTATTAAGCAGCATTTTGACGAGGAAGGACAAATGATATTGGAAATTAAAATCTCAACTATTATAACAGAACATTGAAGACCCAAAGGAAAATAAAAGAGACATGAGGTTTTTGAACATCGGAGGTTGAAGAAACTTCTATAACATATTTTAAAGCTTTACCTAAACCAGTTGATTTTTAAATAGGAAATATTAATGAGGAAGATTCTAACCTAGTTATAGTTTAAACAGTACCACTTTAAAATGTCTTAAATTAGTGCCTCAACTTCCCTAAATTACTTTTCTTATCAACACCTCCCTACTTCTTCACCCCTCAAGTTTTCTCATTTATTCAGTACCTATTTATTGAGTTTCTATGGTATAAAACATGATTCTAAGGGGAACACATTTTGCTAAGGGATTTAAACGATATGTACTAAACTATTACATACAATGACTGGTACCATATAACTATTCACTGAAAATTTTAAAATTTTACTCTGGGTTTGACACAATCAGAAATATAAGGCTATTCAGATATTCTTTGGGGCTGGACTATTTTGGATATATTTTTATGAAGGGTGGAGTCTCTCCTATAAAGTTTTGTTTTCACATTTACAAATTTCACTTAAGTCAAATGAATGACAATGTCTTCAGAAATTAAATATATATACAAAACATCCCTAGGCTATTCTTACTTAAGAGACACTGGCCATCAATGTTTGAGTGCTGTAAGTAGGCAGATCACTACAAAATGGTATGTATGGGTTCATAAGGTAGAATGTGAAAGAAAAGAGATTATCTCCCAAATAAATCAAAGACACTAAGTAAGAATGAAAGATATAAAACCTTGAAAATATAATCCATAGCACTGACACTACATATATTTAAGATGTTCATGCTGTGGCCATTAAATTGATCACAGTAAAATACAGATAAAACAGGAAAATTAGCAAATAAAGTAAAAATTTTTTAATACAGAGAATATCAGTGTTCAATGTATAGTCTTTTGCCATTCCTTGATTTTCTCTTATTAAAAAAACATACAAAACTGCCCCATGCATTTAATTAAAAATCATTTGCTTTCTAAAATTTCAAGTCTGATATAGTGATGAAAACCCAATTATGAGAATTAGGAATTTAATAACTTATTCACAACCTTTCTTAAATTTAACAAAGGATAAAGTATCATCAAGGAAAGGATCCACCCAGTCCACTGGATTCTGGTGGACAAAATATACATCCAAATCCCGCAGTTAGCTTCAGAGTGTTTTCATGATAGGCCCTAACACTGCTGCTATTAGCTTAACAAGGCTGACACTTTAATTTTCTTTTTTTCAGTTATTCCTTATTATGACTGATCTATAAGGATCAATGCTGGAACATGACAATTCTTAATTCATCTTAAACGCTAGCTCCAAAGCACACTGACATTATATAGTGATCTTTGAAGATTGTTATTGGGTGGTAGGTTAGACAGCATGAGGCAGACATTAAAACTTTTAAGAAGTATACTATGGCAAATGTACACAAAAGGAAAAATTATCGTAAAAAAATTAGAGACTTCATTATTTCTTAATCAATTATAATAGAGAAGCTCCTCTTTATTTACCAGAATTCTGTGATCACACACACAAATCAAACTAATCTGGAAGATAATTTCAAATATCAAATACAGAAAACAGCTGAAAGAGCCAATTACTCAAATTGTACCAAAAAGTTTTTTAACTGAGGCAAATATTGACATCAAATCCCAAAGAAACAAGAGGGGGGAAAAAAGGAAGACAATTGGTCTTCTAACAATTCTGGCAAGACTTTTCAAATGTGCGTGAAAGCCCACCTTTCACAATTTGGACAAAGTGAGAGAGAAAGAGAGGTAATCTATCTATCTATCTATCTATCTATCTATCTATCTATCTATCTATCATCTATCTATCTATCTACACTAATAAAAGAGAAACATGGTAATTGGCATACGACCGCTACCCTTTTCATTGGCTAATCAGTGAGATATGCAAATTAACTGTCAGCCAAGATGGCGGCCGGCAGCCAGGCAGCTTGAAACTAACATGAGGCTTGCTTGCCTCAGTGACGGAGGAAACCAACGTTCCCCGCCTACGGCTGCAGGCCTCTGAGCAGGCAGTTTAAGAAACATTGTAACAAATACCACTGGACTTCAGCCAGCAGATTCGCAACATTGTAAGCAAAGGCCAGAAACCTACTTTCAGGAGTGACGGCCTAAGAGCTGGAACCAAGCCTCAAGGTAAAGCTGGCCCAGAATAAAAAAAGAAAAAAGAAAAAAAGGAGCGGTTGGGAACTTCAGTCACTCCCAGCCTGAAAACAGCCCTCAGCCCCTCACCCAGACTGGTCAGGCACCCCAGTGGGGACCCCCACCCTGATCCAGGACACCCTTCAGGGCAAACCAGCCAGCCCCACCCATGTACCAGGCCTCTACCCTATATAGTAAAAGGGTAATATGCCTCCCGGCACCGGGATCAGCATGACAGGGGGCAGCGCCCAAACCCCCTGATCGCCCTGTTGGCTCTGTGTGTGACAGGGGGCGGGGCCCCAACCCCCTGAGCAGCTCTGCTCTGTGCCTGATAGGGGGGAGCTCCCCAACCTGCCCCCCCCCCCACGGGCCCTGCTCTGTGTGTGATGGGGTAGAGCCATAACCTCCCCATCGGCCCTGCCCTGAGTGTGAGAGTGGCGGAGCCCCAACCCCCTGGTGGGCCCTGCTCTGTGTGTGACAGGGGGTGGCGCCGCAACCTCCCCATCGACCCTGCCTTGAGTGTGACAGGGGACGGTGCCCCAACCCCCCAATTGGCCCTACCCTGAGCGTGACTGAGGGTGGCATCACAACCTCCCAATCTGCCCTGCTCTGTGTGTGACAGGGGGCGGCGCCCCAACTCCCCAATCGGCCCTGCTCTGAGCCCGACCAGGGGCTGCACCTAGGGATTGGGCCTGCCCTCTGCCACCCGGGAGCAGGCCTAAGCCAGCAGGTCGTTATCTCCCGAGGGGTCCCAGACTGCGAGAGGGCACAGGCCGGGCTGAGGGACCCCCCCCGCCCCCCGCCGAGTGCACAAATTTTTGTGCACTGGGCCTCTAGTTATATATATAGAAGCCTAATATGCAAATTGTCCCCACAGGAGTTCCACTGAGAGACTGGGAATTCGATCGCTCACTATGACATGCGCTGACCACCAGGGGGCGGCGTGGAACAAAGGAAGGCGCTGGTAACTGGGGAAGGGAGGCCCCACCGGGCAGTCAGAAGGAAGGCCCCGGCTGGCAACCAGAAGGCCTTGATTGGCCCTGATTGCCAGCCAGGTCTAGGGACCCTACCCATACATGAATTTCGTGCACTGGGCCTCTAGTATTTCATAATGGAAATCCAAATTCACAGAGAAAGCAGGAACATATGTGCCAGTCTCAGTCAAATCTATGATGGGGCCATTATTCACAAAGTTTATACATTTCATGCAAGAATGTTATCAGCATTCATGACTAATTATATTTAATTAAGTACTTTCCCTTATTAAAAATGTTTTCAGTATTTTACTAAAAATTCAACCTGGAAAAACTACTATAAGAGTGATCAACAACTTAAAATTAAACTTCACAACAATGCCATGTTAGATATTTGAAGATTATTTACTAGTATGTGGGCTACTACATCCCAACTCCACAAGTAACAACTTACTCTTCTGATTTTCTTCCGTTTTTTATAACGTGGTCTGGTCTCTATCCTTTGGACACTGCATCGTACAAGTAACAGCAGGTCTTGCAGGCTAAATAACTTGTAAACAAAATTTCCTTCCTGAGGAACTACATATTCTGATGTATCTTCAACATAGTCCTGAAGTTCATATGGCAATCCTTTAAAAATAATTATATTTCTCATTTTTATTTTAAAAGACATTAGTCGGTTATTCATCATAATCCAAGATAAAACAATTCAGTGATTTATTTTTAAATTTCAAGTTTAACTTTATATTTCCTCTGAGTACATCTTCACGCTATTATCACTTCTGTTTATGTTTATTGGAACTGCAGCAAAACCTGAAATCGAAGCTTTACAGTTCTCTTTCTTTTAACTACTACTTTATCCCTAGGCAAAGTATAAATTAGTGAGACAACATATGAAGTGAGAAGAAGAGTTTAGAAAAATGTTATTCCTAATCTAGGCAGAGCTGAAGTGCAGCTTTATATCTACTTCACAAAATATAAAAGTACAAAATTACAGTTCAATACCAAGAAGAAATACATTTTGGATTAATAAGTGTTTATGATTTTTATGCGCTTTCCCTTCAGTTTGGCAAACTACATTGCCTATAGCTTAGTAGCCACTGCACATGTTGGATAAACATAGGGTACAAAATCTATACATCTTTGGGTACATATTTAGAAAGAAGGTTTGGAAGTTAAAATACTGATAAGTAGATTAAAAATGAAGTGAAATATCAATGACTATATAAAGATTTTAAACAGGTTAATACAAAGAGAAAGTGAGGTGAATGAAAGAAAAGAACTAAAGGACAAGGTATAGGCAAAGAGTATAAATATAAAGTTTTTTGTAAATATTTACTTACGTCCTTTTGGCTTCTGAAATGCAGAGGTCCATGCAGTTTTTGGCCAAGTAGTGGCATCTGAAGGAGCAGAGGGTTGCTCGGAAACAGGAGGTTGTTTAGAATTTTCTGTATTCATTAAAGGCAACTCAGGTATTTTTCTGGAAACTGGCTTTAAGAGTTCATCTTGCATTTTTAAAATTTCCCCAACTGGGTCAAATTTTTTATATACTCGTTTGATAGGTTTTTTTAAAACACAGGACTCTTCAGGACTACAAGTAGTATTAGTCTGGTTTCCTACAGAAGCCTGTCCTGAGGAAGAATTTGGGCTGACTGGTTTAGAATTTAAGTTAGAACCCACATCAGCTGTCTTTCCGGTACTATTCTTTTGACACTCTGTATCAATGATTAAACATTCTTCATCTGTATCACTATGACAAAGCATTACATCCTCAGTTTTCTCTGCTTCTGATGTAACAGTCTCTTCCTTTGAATTGTCAGTACTCTCTGGAATATTTAGTCTTTCATCAGCACACACTGTATCAGTAGCCATGTCATTTTTATTAGAGGTTTCCATTTCCACAGAACTTCCTAACTGTAACTCATCAGATGTTTGCAAGTCACCATCTTGCACCAGAGGCTTGTCAGAATTATCTGATACCTTCTCAGCACACGGTACAACTCCCTGATCACCTTTATTTTTACACTCTTCAGGGCCACCGTCCATACCAGTCACCAGCTGTTTCTCCTTTTGCAACTGTTCCATTAGAATCTGAGATAAACTTCTAGCATGAGCAGAAATGTCTACTGGTGCAGCTGGTGCCACAGGTGTGGATGCTGCACTGGGGGCTCTGGGAGCAACTGGCATTTTGGGTACTGTGGAAGTGCTTGCTGGACTTGGGGACTTTGATGGTTTGGTGGTGGTTACTCCAAAAGTTTCAAGTTCTGTGACATCATCATCAAAATCCAGATCCAAATTTTCAAGGGTTTCAATTTTTCGGCAGTCATTAACTTCATGAGACATCTTAAGAAAATATATTGTTAAACTATTAGCAAAAGTTCCAGGCCACACCTCATCTATCTCTTAATGCCCCTACTCCTCAGGTACATAGTTCATGCTCTTTAAAAGCAGAAAGTCTAATGGCTCTGAAGGGTTCTTAAGAATGACAATAAACGACAATAAACTAATTTATTTAACCTTACATTCCCATTGAAATGTTGATGAAACACAAATCTGTGAAGCTGTTATCAACACAGGAAATGGGGAATACCTGCATTTGTGAACTATCACATCCCAAGAGGAATTTCCACTAATCAAACAGTAGACAAGACCACAAAGAAGACATAGAGCCAAATAGGAAGGAAGCAGATTTTCATTCACACCTGTTCCACACACTCTTGCAGAGACAGACACCTGGACTTAGCTGACAGGAGAAAAGCCTCTTTGCCACTGTGAGGAAGCTGCTCTCTAATGCAGCTGGTGAAGGGTCGCCAGCCTCTGAGTCGGGTGCATCAATCAGTGACTTTCTTTCTACATCTACTCAGGGAAAATGAATCTCAGTAACAGGAGGAGAAATGGACAGGACATGATGTTTTTGTATTCTGGGACATGAAGCCACTAAAACTGCAGTTTTTCATGTACTATTCTGGTAATGGAAGAATTGCAGATTTAATTTATTGAGGAATAAATGGTCCTCTTCCCCAAGCAGCAGCAGATCTCTCCTTAATCTGGCATGGCATGTTAAAGAAATACCATGGAAATTTGGTTACAGGCTGGGCTATGTACACCCATTAGCCTTACAGCTTAGGTTTTAAGAAAGAAATAGTCTGACAGCAATCAGATAGTGAGTAAATCAACCTGTGTAAGTTCTTTTAACTTTTCTGGGCCTTAATTTCTTCATCACTAAAATAGTGGTAACAGGGTCATCTTCTTGGATTTGTTCTAAGGAGTAAATGAGAAATTGTATATAGAAAGTTACTTGACATAGTCCCTGGCACATAGTAAATAGCTTCTCAGTAAAGGTAGATCCTAATAAAATAAAAAATACTACTAGATTTAGTAAAAAAATAAACAAACTATGTTATTTATATAAAGCATTCTTTCACAAAGAGGTGAAAAACAAAACCACAGGGCACAATTATCAAGAAATAAAGAGAGAAGGAATAGTAATATTAAGTGTTAGACAACACGAATTCAATGCAAAGCATTAAACAGAAAAGGGAATTCTATGTTAAAAAAAAAAAAAAGAGGAAATCGATGACAAACAGATAATGGTCTGGTCATGAATTGTGACATGCCTAAACTATCAAAATATGTAGTCAAAACTTAAAAATAAAAGGAAAACTTGACAGAAACATAATTGTATGTCCCTAAGTATGTAAAAATAGAAAGTATGAATAATATTAAAGTATTGAAACAAATGTAGATGAATGAGTGAAAACATACGTATAGACTACAAAGATATACCTTTTCCCTCCCAAGATTCCAAGGGGCATTTCCAAAGATGGACTATAAGTTAATATACAAAGAAAACATCAATATAGCACAAAACACAATATGCTAAGGTCTTACTCTCTGTTTAGAGGGAAATAAAATCATTAAGAAAAATATAAACAAATAAATCCAAGCACTTGGAAATGAAAAAACACTCCAGATAGTAAGTAATGATAATTACAAAATACTTAAAAAGCAACAAAAATTAGAACATTAGACATTAAAAATCAGAAGTAATATTTAATATATAATATAATCATAATATAAAATAAAAATTTAAATAAAAAATTAATGAATTGAAAAACAATTCTCACCCCAACAGAATTTAGATAAAATTAAAAATCTTATTTATCTGTAAATACTTTAGCATGTAGCTATAAAAGGATTCTTCCTTAATATCATAAAATATTTAATCAAGTGTTAAAATTTCCCAGTGTGACATCTTTTTACAATTGTTTATTGAAATCAGTATCCAACCAAAATCTCTACATTGCATTTGGTTGACACATCTCTCAAGTTTCTTTGTCAAATGCCTCTCCCCATACTCTGCCAACTCCCACATCTGCCAGATACTTACAGAAGAAACCATATTAGTTAGCTTGTAAAAATTTCCATTTTAAAAATTGATTTGATAGAGAAACGCTGATTTGTTGTTCCACTTATTTGTGCATTCACTGGTTGATTCTTGTATGTGCCCTGACCAGGAATTGAACCCACAACGTTGGTATGTTGGAACTAAGCTCTAACAAAATAATCTACCTAGCCATAGACAAAATTTCCATTTTAGATTTTAATTTCTGCATCCCTCTGATATCATTTAACACATTCATATAGCTTTAGAATTTCCTATTAAAATGTCTAATAGCTTGATCGGATTCAGGTATAATTTTTAACCTGAGTATTTATTTATGGTACTGTATATTTGTTTCAATCAGGAAGCTAACGATGTCTGGTTATCTTTCTTCTTGTGGTATTACAATTGATTTGTTGGTTCATCAAGTTTCATCAACTTAATCTATCCATTACAAAATTCCTCATTGATCTTCTAATGATTTTAGCAATGACTGATGAGGATCACTGCCTAGATTCAAAATTTTATTAGGAGCTACAAAATGATGACAGTCATATTCTTTCATTACCCTGATATATAGTTTGTACTGGAAAGGCAAGACAATACTTGTTTTTAAAAATCAGTTTTCAGAATAATGACTTCATGCATTAGCATTCTCCAAAGATGACTAGTACTTTTTGTAAAGTATCAGTATGAATTCATAGATTTTTAACATATTTCATGTTTCAATCCATTGCAGTCATCCTTTGTCATAGTTAAACTGACACATTTCTGTCCAATAGGAAACTCTTCAAGTTGGTTCTGGTATCTTTTTGATACAATTCCTATATTATTATAGAGCTTTACTTAACTTCATTGCTTGGCATCTATTAGGAATACTTGATTCTTAATATAATTACTACTTATTTGTTTTATTGTAGTATCTGATGTGTTTAAAATAAAAACAGCAATATCATTCATAACAATATGACTACTAAATGCAGTTTAAGATTTTTTGGCAGTTCTTTCTGAATTTAGGATATGAATCTTTAGGGCTGTAACAATCAATTTACTAAGTTTCTATCACTTAAAATAATTCTTCTCTGACTGGTTAAAACACTAACTTGGTATACAGTGGGTTCATTTGTTTCACTTCAGCTTTGATTGGCTTTTATAACATTTTAAAATTTGTTTTAGAGACATGTAAAACATTTATTTGGCTCAGTTAAAAGTATAAAACAAAGAACATTCAGAGAAATCTAGTTGATAATCCTACCTCCTCTGCTTTGTTCCATCCCTCCTCCAATTAACCATTTTCACTAGTTTAAGTTTATTCTTCATGGTGTGGATTTTCTTTACTCTGATTTCATGTACTCACAACTGTAAATCTATGTTTGGCCAATCATGGATTTTATATATCCTTCTTACTTAATTAAAAAGTAGCCTATTACAAAAAAATGTTCTCTTCCTTTCTTGTTTCACTCAACAATATATCCTGGATGTCACTATAGCAGCATATCTAAAGCTTCTTTCATTCTTTTTAATAGCTGCTTAGTATGCTATTGAAAATGTACCATTTATTTAATTAATACCTGTACACGTATGCATTGTTTCTAATCCTTTGCTACTGCAAATAGTACTGCAATGAATAGCTTGCACATGCATTTTGTTCTTTTCCTGGTACTTCTAAGCTATATTTCTAGAAGTAAGCTTTTTAGGATGAATACAGTGTTCAGATTTTGTGGGTACATCTTCACTGTAGAAATGTTATAACAATATGTTTTTCCCCCTCTAATACCTTTGTAAGAGCTTCCATCAACAAGCTTCTTCTGTTCTTCATGTTTAAATGTGATGGTTTCTCTTGCTGCTATGTAAGAACAATCCTGTATGCCAGGACAGTTTTCTTAGCTTCATGGCTCTAAACTCATGCTTCATTGTTACCACAAAGTATGCATATATGTAGGTTCGTGTGTATGTGTGTGAATCTTGAGCACATTCTGAGATCTGGTTCCTCTATTCCCTTCACCTACAATTAGTTATCTGAAAATTTATTTATCTTTAATGCCCTTGTTCTGCTCAATATGGACTCTACCACGAGTAATTTTTCCTGAACAAAGGCTTTTGCCTTGGAAGGGACTTTGGTCAGTATCTAGAGTTCGTAGGGCTCCCGTCATCTCAGAAATCTCTTAACTTCGTGAGTGCCCCTGCAATCACCTACAAATTAGAGTCTATACATATTATTTTCACTTTTGTTATTCTTCATTCCTCCTTCCATCTGGATTATTTTCCTTGTGCCTAAAGAACATCCATTAGAGGGGTCTACTGGTAGCAAACTCAATATTTAATGAAAAATATCTGTTTAATTTGGTTAGAGAATTTTAGTAAATGGGTTATATTTTTTTAACACAATATTATTCCAATGTCTTCTGGTTCCATTGTTGCTGTTGAGAAGTTATTTGGCAGTTTAACTCTCAGTGCTATATAGAAAATGTGCCTTTTGTTTCTCTGAGGTCTTTCAAGAGTTTTTTCTTTGTCTCCAAGTATTGATTTGGCCCCAATGTCTCCTTTACACCATCCTTTTGGGTGCAACTACACACATTAAACATTCTCATTACTAGTATATCTTCTCTTATCTCTTGCCTTATTCTCTATATTTTTTTATCTTTTTGTTGTCTGCGTTACAATATGGATAGTCTTCTCAGACTCATCTTCCAGTTTATTGATTCTCTTTTCAGCTTTATCTAATGTGCTTATAACCCATTTACAGAATTCTTAACTGTAATTACTGTATTTTTCACTTTTAAAATTTAAAATTTTTATTTAGTTCTTTCTCAAATCTGTATATATAGGAATATAGCTATACTAATAAAAGGGTAATATGCTAATTAGAGCAGACGTCTTCCGGGTGACCATCCGGATGTCCTTCTAGACCAGTGGTTCTCAATGTTGGCTGCACATTAGAATCACCTGGGAATCTTGTTAAAATCCTGATTTCTGGGCCTCATCCTCTGGAAATTGTTTCTTTGTTATGGGGTGGGGTCACAACATTAGTAACAAAGAAACAGAACTTCCGGAGGATGAGGCCCAGAAATCAGGATTTTAAAAAGATTCCCAGGTGATTCTAATGTGCAGCCAAGGTTGAGAACCACTGTTCTAGACAAAGCCGCAGTGGCTGCTGCAAGGGCTGAGCGGAGGCTCAGGCAAGCAGTGGCAGCAGCAGCAGGGTAATGGGGGCGGTGCCTTCCCCTGATCCGCCAGGTCGCCTCCTAGAGGGAGGCCAGACTGTGGCTTAGGCCTGGGGTCAAGGCACAGGTGGTTAGGGTTGATCAGGCCGGCAAGGGAGCAAGGTAGGGGCAATCAGGCAGGCAGGCAGAGGTGTTAGGGGTGATTAGGAAGGTAGGCAGAGGGATTAGTGGTGATCAGGCAGGCAGGCAGGCGAGCTGTTAGGAGTCAGTGGTCCTGGATTGTGAGAGGGATCCCAGATTGGAGAGGGTGCAGGCTGGGCTGAGGGACACCCCCCCACCCCTGTGCACAAATTTCGTGCACTGAGCCTCTAGAGCAGTGGTTCTCAACCTGTGGGTCGCGACCCCTTTGGCGGTCGAATGACCCTTTCACAGGGGTCGCCTAAGACCATTCTGCATATCAGATATTTACATTATGATTCATAACAGTAGCAACATTACACTTATGAAGTAGCAACAAAAATAATTTTATGGTTGGGACACAGCATGAGGAACTGTATTTAAAGGGCCAGAAGTTTGAGAACCACTGCTCTAGAGTGTGTGTGTGTATATATATATATATTTTATTGACTTCAGAGAGGAAAGGAGAGAGAGACATAGAAACATGGATGATGAGAGATAATCATTGATTGGCTGCCTCCTGCACTCCCTTTCCTGGGGATTGAGCCTGAAATTCTGGCATGTGCTCTAACTGGGAATCAAACCATGACCTTCTGATTCATAGGTCACTGCTCAACCACTGAGCCACACCAACTGGGCTGTTATAGCTTGTAAAAGTTTCCAGTTCTTTTCAAGCATTACTTTCTTTGAATGTTGTATGATTCAACAGAATTGACTAACAGTTTTTGATGGATAATTCTAAGACCCATTTATGTGAATCTGTTTGGTCATTGTTTCTCCTCCTGTTTCTAGCTATCTATATTTTTTGTTATTATGTTATTCACAGAAACTATTTGAGGCTCAAAATTATATTATGTTCCTCTAAGAATTATTTTCATTTGCTTTTGCGAAGTGTCCAGTAATCCAAAACCATCTGAATCCAAGTTCAAGGCCTGAAAACTAAGGCTACAACCTCTGAGAAAGCTAATTTATTTCTGGTTTACCCTTACTTTTGAGGTATAGCCCTGCAGGGTCTAAGCCTTTGATGAAAAACTGACCTGTGACTTTTGTCTCCCTAGTCCTCTGATGCTGCCAAAACCACAGTTCATTTTCTGTTGCGTCTTCAGAGTTGCTCAATACTATCCAGGGCAAAAATAACCCTAAGAGACAGCCTCACCTCCCTGGATTCTGGTCTTCTCTGATATCTCAGCCCTTACTATCTTGTTAGCTCTTTGATGATTTTAAGAAAGGATTTTAATATTTTTTCCAGCTTTTTTTCGTTGTCAGAAGTCATAATCACTTCTTGGCTTTTTGGCTAAGATCAAGTGTAGTTGTCAGCAGTAATGAGAAAGATCCAAATAACCTGGTCTGCTGTTAATGAAAAGAGTTACTCTGTCAGTTTTCATCCCTTTTAACCTATTTCATGTTTCTTCATAATAATACTTATTACTTCCTGATATTCACTTCACACTAATATAAATTTTAGGTAGACTTTAAAATGCAAAAATAAATAAACAACTTAAGAAAAGTTGGAAATGCTGTATGACATTTATATTATAAAAATATTAAAAGACAAATGGCAAACTGAGAAAAACATAAAAATATAAAAGCCAAAAAGCCATTATTCTTTAAATAGTATGAACTCTTAGTAATAAGAAAACTATTTTTCTATTTTACTTCATAATTGTGTTTGTTCTCTCACTTTATTCAAGTCTCTGTTCATATTTCTTGTTCTGGGAAAGCCTTCTTGACTATGAGTCTAAAATAGTTCCATTTCTATCTCTTTCCCTTAATCAACTCTATTTTTCTGAATAGCATTTACCACTATCTCCTTTTTTGCTATTATTTTGTTAAGCTCTGATATAAGCTCTAAGAGAAAAAAGACTTTTTATTCACTGCTGTATCCTCAGTGCATAGGAAAGTATCTACTCAATAAATATTTGTGGAACAAATGAAGAAAGTCTAGTATAAACAGAATGTCTTACTTTAATAATCATGGATATTTTAAAATACACAAAATAACAAATGCTACTGTTTCTGGAATGCAAATGCTTTACTGTTCTAAATGCACTGTTCTAAATGCTTTACATATATTAACTCATTTAATTCCAAATAATCCTATGAGTTAGGTAATATCATGATATCCATTTTACAGATGAGCAAACTAGACACAGAGAGATTATGTAGCTTCCTTAAGGTCACACAGCTACTAAGTATATTGAAAAGGATTAACAATCTGGCCAAATACTTTCTGTACCAATCCAATTCATCTGTTCCTTTTCATACTTCAAAAATTTTAAATATAAATGAGAACAATTAAAACTACCACCATAATTATCACCATTATTAACTGAGTTTTTAGTACATGCATACTAATGACTGTGCTCAGCATTTTACATTGTAATAGCAAAGCTAATGCTTACAACAATCTTGTGAAATAGGTATTGCCTTTCTTTAAAAAAAAAAAAAAGGAGAAAAACCAGAGGCTGAGGGAAATTAAATTAGTTGCCCAAAGGCTACCTTGACTTGGGGTTCAATTTTAAGTTTCAATCTACAGCCTAGATTTTTAACTACCAGATTTAGAGACTTGTAATAAAACTTTAAGCTTCAACAGAATAAACAAATACATTCCCTTAAGGAAAAAAAACATTACATACATCCATTTCAGGCACACAATCTTCTGGTTTGTCCATAAATACTGCAGAGACTGGAAAAGATGTATTTTTGGACATCATGAATTTTAATGGAACTTCATGGAAGATTTGATTTCTCTCTCTCATTGTCATTTTCTTTTGGGGGAGTGGTGAATTAACATAAATTACTTTAACCGGTTTTGAACCTTAAAACAGAAAAAGAAGGGAGTTATTAGTTTCTAGTAGTGATATTTAGGAAAAAAACCCAGAATGTATGATAGAAGGATCACTAAACAAAGAGGCATGGGTAAGAAAGTGGTAGCACAAGCCCAAATATCTGCCACCCCTGAACCAGAAGATCTTTAAAATCCCTTAGAGATCTAAGGACCAGAGAATCTGACTGGCAAGAAAAATATATACTTTTTCTAATAATTTTTTAAAAGGATTTATTTTACTATTATACTTTTCCTGTCATTAATACTCAGATCTTATAGGATTATGGTTTCGACATGTAATGAAATTTTTACCACAGAGAATATATTACATTTGCAGTTTTGTTTCATTAGACACAGTCCTTCATTTATTATAATTATGTTGTCACATATAATATTATTAATTCTGGAATATAAGAAAAAACTACTAAATATGAACCAAAACTGAAGGGGAATAATCTTTTGTACAGAGGAATTTATATGCAAATATAATTTTACTGTCAATAGACAGATTAGCCTATGCTCATAAGTATAGACCTATTTTAATTCTGAATTCCAATAACAGACAAGTACTCATCCAATTTAGGGTGTCTAATGAAGTATTGCATTCCTTTCATTTCATTAAAAGATAGAAGAACCTCGCCACTTCATGTTTTTAGTCACCCTGCCTGTGGTCGGCAAACTGCGGTTCGCGAGCCACATGCGGCTCTTTGGCCCCTTGAGTGTGGCTCTTCCTAAGCCTTAGGAGTACCCTAATTAAGTTAATAACAATGTACCTACCTATATAGTTTAAGTTTAAAAAATTTGGCTCTCAAAAGAAATTTCAATCGTTGTACTTTTGATATTTGGCTCTGTTGACTAATGAGTTTGCCGACCACTGCTCTAAACCATAATTATTTCTCTAATACCTCTCACCCCTCATGAGTACAGGTTCTATAGATATAACTTATCTACTAGAGGCCTGGTGCATGAATCCATGCATGGGTGGGGTCCCTCAGCCTGGCCAGTGATCAGGGACATCTTGCCCAGTCCGGGGGGAGTGACCACAGGAGATTGGCCACCCGTGGGAGGTTGGCTGTGGGAGTGCACTGACCACCAGGGGACAGCTCCTGTGTTGAGCATCTGACCCCTAGTGGACAGTGCCTGTCATAGTGACTGGTTGGCTGGTCAAGTGGTTGTAACGGTCACTTAGGCTTTTATATACACTGAGTGGCCAGATTATTATGACCACCTGACGTTTGTAGGCAAATTAGCTATAATTTCACACTGAAGTTGCTAGAGGGCCAGATCATTATAAACGTCTGAATAGCACAACATACCTAAGTATCGTTGCTGATCAAGTTTATCCTGTCATGTTGATGGCATATCCCAATGGAGATGGCTTCGTCCAACAAGACAATGTGCCATGCCACGGTGCTCATGTTGTGCAGGAGTGGTTTCAAGAACATGAGGGAGACTTTACCTTGCTTAGGTGGCCCCCACAATCACCAGACCTCAATCCAATTGAGCATTTGTAGGATGAAGTTAAAAGAGCCATCAGGCAGCTGGTTCCACAACCATCAAATCTCACAGAATTTGACAGTGCTATTCATCAAGCATGGTGTCAGACTCCTCGCATCACCTTTCCACATCTCGAGGAGTCAATGCCAAGAAGAATCGCCGCAGTATTAAAGGCAAAAGGTGGCCCAACGAAGTACTGATGGGGTGGTCATAATAATCTGGCCACTCAGTGTAGACTAGAGGCCCGGTGCATGAATTCATGCATGGTGGCAGGGGATTGGGGGGAGGAAGGGACTGTGGGAGGTGGCCGCCGGCCTCAAGAAGGGAGCCGGCCCTCGGCCCCCCTGGAAAAGGGGCCGCGTCTGCCGCCATCCACCCCCAGTTCCCCGTACCAGCCTGGGGCCCAAAGTTCCCAATGGGGTAGAGAGAGGAGGTGACAGTCGCTGGGCCAGGTGCGGAAGGAACAAATGCCGGACGCTGGTGCCCCGCCACCGCATGGTTCCCTGCCTCCCAGTCTCCTCCTTCCCTACCATGGCGGGTGGGCGGCCCCCAGGGAAGGGAGAGAACAGGAGCAAGACAAATCCCAGTATCAAGGGCTGAATTTCAACAGATTGCAGTGAGGGAGCTGCTATGCTACGTACGAAACCCTGACCCAGAAGCAGGTCTCTACAAATGGTTTAGCACCAGGGGTCAATGGGGGCCGGCCAGGGGGAGGGGCCAGGTTGGCTGTGGGAGTGCACTGACCACCAGCGGGCAGCTCCTGCGTTGAGTCATAGCGACTGGTCGACTGGTCATTCCTTCATAAAGGTCACTTAGGCTCTTACATATATTTAGATGAGTGTCAATTCTGTGGTAGCTCTATTTAAAAAGTTCTATTGAGTGTAAGTAGTAAACTTATATCCTCCTTAAATCAAAACTTAGATATTTGTATTTGACAAATGACCACCTGTGTTTAGATAGCTGAAATGGAACCATTCCAACTCTTCTGTTAAGAGCATTACCTGACATGGCAAATCACAAACCTGCAACAGGTATTAGTTGAATACACACTGGAATTTCCCACTGTTCCTTGTAGTCCGGCCCATGATTATTTAATAAGGCAAATAATGATTGACTAGTTAGAACTATCTGAGGGTGATATCTTGAAACAAGCTTCTCTGCATTTGGATCTTTACTAATGTCCTGAAAAACAAAATATACCGTTACTTCATTATACTTATTGGAAATTTCTTTACTACAATAACAAAAAGGAAACTGAAGGAAACTTTAAAAGAATCAGATTATCTGTACTTTATGAGGTACAGAAGATTACTTATAGAGATCCCATCCCAAACCACTTTCGTACTTACGTAATGCATAGCTGCAGCTGTTTGTTCTGGTATTTCATTGGTAGATAGGTTATCTTTTGAGAGCTGCAATTTTGCAGGCATTGAGGGAAATACTGTTTTCACATATTTCACGCTACCCTAAATAAGAATGAAATCATTGCTTATTACAAAAATCTTGATATAGTTTTCCCCCAAGTATCTTTTCATCATAGGAAACTTTAAAGTTAAAATTCTTCATTCTACTAAATGCAAATGTCAAATTTAGAGCCTTCTTTAAGTCAAGACTTTTTGTTGTTGTTGTTAATCCTCACCTGAGGATATTTTTCCATTGACTTTTATTCAAAGTGGAAGGGAGGGGGGAGAGACAGAGAAACACCCATGTGAGAGAGACACACTGATTGGTTGACCTTTACCGGAATTGAACTTGGGACCCTTTAGTCGCAGGTCACCGATGCTCTAATCAATGAGTGTACTAGCCAGGGCAAGACTTTCATGTTTTTGCTTGACACCCACCATATATATATTTTTTAAAAAGGGTCCAAGAGAAGGGAACCATGGAATCTTTCCTGCCACTTTAACCTCTCATTTTATGAGGAACATATCATCACAGGGTATAGGAGAAAATCTAAAATATCCTCTTCACACACACTTCCAGTATAATTGTGTGTAAAATCCCTTAAAAAAAAGGGGGGGGGGGAGGCTTCCTGCTTATATTCAGTAAGATGGGGACTCTAAGAAAAGAAAATCAAGAAATAAAGTGGGTAGTGACATTTTTAAAAACATCAAGTATTGATATCCATAAAGCTGTATCTCATTATTATTCAAAATTTAAACACAAATGTTGTCTGTGTGAAATACAGATTATGTTTCAAACAAAAATAAGTATATACTTTCATATGGCAAACCTTACCAGTGCAAGAAGAGTTTTTTCTAACTTTAATCCCATCTCTGTTCTGAATGGGAAGAATCCCATTAAACTGGTGACTTCATGGAGAGTATAGAATTCTGGATACTTTTTCACTTGGTCGATGCAAGCTTTTAAAATTTGCTAGAAAATAAAAACCAAAATAAATTCATTTGCATTGTACTTCTCTAATAATCCAACAAAAATAAGTCAGTTACATATGATTATATAATTGTTCACTGGCAATATAGCCTCATTTCATTACTCAAATTTATAACAATCCAAGCATATTGTATATTCCTTGTTTAATGTAATCTCATTTTTTCATAACAATTCTTTTAAACCTAATTTCTTAAAATGCTGATATTTGATAATATTAAAATGAGCAACTGTATTAAAATTTAAAATGAAACAGAGAAGATATATTTTCTATACTATTTAAGAAACTGTCAAGGAAATAAAGCCACATGAAAATTTCAACACACTTTACTGCAATAGAAGTTGTTTTATGAAAAATTAGAAATAAGTAAGTTTAATATCCTTAAAAGATTCCCAAGCACAGAAATTAATGAAGTAGTTGCCTTATATGTCATTCTAATCTGCAATCTAAAAAATAAATGAGAAATGTTGTAACTAAATCAAATATGCAGTATGTTTTTTCTCTCCAAACTGTTTCCAAAATATTAATAACCTATCAGGAAATGTAATCAGGAAGAAAATAAAACTCACAGCTTTACCCAAGCAGAATACTAGTATATGCCACTTGTAATAACATGCAGATAACTCAAAGGAGAACAGCAGTTTTGGGTGGCAGTGGGGGGTTATAATTTTAAAAATAAAAAGGTATTATTTTCTAAGTATTTTTTCTTCTTGTCAATTAATCAAATCTGAGACTTATAGAATATACTTTACATCACAAAAGCTCTTAGCAATAAGCATGTCTTTGTACTATATGTGTATCTCCATTCCCTTTAGACATTCATAAAATATGTAAAGCTACAAATCAATAACTTTGCTATAGTATATCTTTTCATCTATAGTTTCATATTTTCTTCTTCCCCTCTTAATCTTTGCTCCCAGCTATCTTTCAAATCCCCCCGCCCCCTTCATGCTTTTCAATACTGGCCTTAACATTTAATTCAGAATATTATTTGCAACTAAGGCTGATGCAGGTTAACATAGAAAAGTTCAAACTCAGATCAGCATAAGATTTTGTTCTTCATTTATAATATTAATTAACTTTCACTAATTAGTTAACTCCCCCCGACCCCTTCTCTCTAACGTTCCTGTCATATGGCAGTATTTGCAAGAATTTGAACATGCAGAGGAAAACACTATATAATCACTATGTGATATAGAGACTATTCTGGCTAGATGTTTATTAGCACGTCTTTCATGGTAAAAATGCTACATGCCACAGTGCTTTTAACTGAGTTACCCTAAATTCAGTAATTATGTTAAGAGAAAGAGTCAAAGGAAAATCTAAGACAGTTTTATTCCTATACTCCAAATGTTATATATTATTAAAGGTATTTCACAACTGGTAGGCATTAAGCAACTAAAGAAACGTTATTTAACTAAAAAGGTTTTTTAAACTAATAATTTGTCTTTGAAAAACAGCTAAGAGTGAATAAAGAAGGTTAAGAGACTCAGGTTGTTTCCCATCATTCACCCACTGAATGTTATTATTTTTTAATATGTTTTTATTGATTTCAGAGAGGAAGGGAAAGGGAGATAGATAGAAACATAAATGATGAGAATCATTGATCAGGGCTGCTTCCTACATGCCCCACACTGGAGATTGAGCCTGCAACCCAGTCATGTGCCCTGACCAGGAAATGAACCATAACAAACAGGGCCTCCACTCCAGTGCCCCCTGATTCTCAGCAACAGGACCTGGTCAACAGGACCTGATCTCAGGATGGTGGCCACAACTGCAGAACACAGATCTGTTTCAAGAAAAGTTGGGAATGCAGACTATGGTATGAGCCCCTATCCCAAAAGGTGGCAGTTCATTCACATTGTGGCAAAGACACCTTCAAGAGTAACGTAAGTGGGTAAAGCCAGGGCCAAGCTGGGCCATTTCCTCATCCGATCTCTCTGAGGCATGTGGACAGAACCAAGTTTCAGCTCTTCGCAGGACACTTCCGGGGTTTGTTTGTTTTTTTTAAGCCTAAAGGACAGTAGTCTGTCTCCATTCTTGTTCTTTGGGATTTTTTCATCGTCAGATAAAAGGATATGTACATTGGGGCAATCCTTTCACGATACAATATTCCAGTTGCACCCATGTGACGACCACAACGCCTCTCAGAGGGAGAGAGACGACAGATGGGGAGCAGGGAATTCTGAAAACCAAAGCAATGACAGAAATGCTAAACCTTTCCTTCATGCGTCTGACACCCCTCCTCAGGTGGCCTGCAGGCTGGGTGTCTGCTGGACCTTTACCACTTGATGTCCTGGCAGGCTGCCCTGGGCCCTGCTAGGCACTCTGCAGGGCCGCCTGGGCCCGGGGGGGGGGCGGGGGGGAATCACCCCCACCCCAGCCACTCCTGGTACAGCTCCTGCACATGGGCGCTGGTCTCTGGGGGGCCACACTGGGATGGCAGCGTAGACGTCTTCCATCTGCCGTAGCAGTGCCCTGTCTGCACGCCCGTCCTCGCCTGGGCCGGGCCCCTGCTGCTTAGGCATCCCGGCGCAGGCCAGGACCACCATGAAGTGGCAGGGGAACTTGCCCCTCTACAGCTTCAGGACCACTTCTGGATGTTTCAAAAGTGGTAAGCAGTCTCAAAGCGTAGCAGAACTTCTCTGTCCCTTTCAAGGGTGACCTCCTGGAAGTCTTTGTTCTTCAGGGTGCGGTAGGTGAGCATCCCCACATTCTCACTGAACAGCTCCATGGCCATGTGCCTGAAGATGTGCGCCAGGTATTTGTCGGAGTTGGGCCCCTCGTGGAGCCTCACCTCCTCCTCCTTCATGTCTCCAGAGTGTCCACGGCGGTGTCATTTGAGGCAAGGTCACTTTGCCCCATATCTGGACAATTTCACCTGAGGTTAACACGTAGTCAGCACCCTGGGAACTATGCAAAGCTGTGGGAACACCTTCTCAAAGGGCCTCGTTTCTTGTCATAACATGGGGTCCACAATGACGTGGAAAATCTTGTCTGGGAGATAGGTTCTGCCGTCAGGTGAAATAATCCTTCACCAGAGAGCCCATGATCTGCTGGGGAGACTTGGCCATGCAGAGGTGGGGGTGATGGGGTGACCCAGCACGCGCTCTGCATATCGGTTCCAGCCGGGGCAGGTGGAGGTCAGCATGGGTAGCCAGGGCTCTTTCTCACGGTGCTGGCAGTGCTGACACACAAATTCCTTCTGACTCTCCAGGATGCTGAAGTCCGCAGCTATCTTCATGTCAAAGACAGTGCACCCCAAGGCTTTTGAGGAAGCCGCAGAGCCTTCTGGATGTATCAGTGACACTGAGGCTGGATTTAGCAGCAAAATAAGGCAGAGACTGAGGACATATGGACACTGCCAGCACCTTGTGCTGTGAGGTATCACATTTCTTATTAAGGTTCAGAACATGGAAGAAGTCCTTGGTGTTCTGCTGAGAAACTTGGACTCCTCCCTCTGCGGTCACACAACTGTCACATGCCAGGCAGTCACTCAGAAATATCTTGGCATCGGCCAACTTATGGCAGTCTCCCTTCTCTCCGTTCTCCTGAGCCGGACTCCAAACGTTGACTTCAGCATTCTCTTGGTCATCCGTTTTTGTTTTTTACTATATTCCTTCCGTGTGCAGTGCTCACACTTCATCTGGAGTGCGGTGGGCGGGGGCCCAGCTCGAGTGACCTGGAGGAAGCACGGGAAAGCAGTCACTGCTGGTCGCCCTGGCGCTGCTGGCAGTATCCTTTCTTCCTTTCGGAGTGTCTAGGGAGGGTAAGTGCCCGCAGTGCCCAAAGCCGAGTTCCAGGAGTCCGGCAGCTCTGTCAGGATCATGCTGGCGGCGCTGGTCCATTGGTGCCTGGCCTGTCCTCTGGAGACTGAACCTGCAGGACTATTAAGGGAGCCAGTCCCCAGTTCCACCCCGCCTCCGCCACCAATTGATTGGAGTCTGAGAGCCGGGAGGAAGGACCAAGCAGTCTGCCTTCTGCCCACCCGCTCACCAGTTGCTGCTGCCACAGATTCATCAGAGCCTGAGGGGCCCCAGTTCCTCCGTTAGACATCCCCTGATCAATGGAGCCTGTTGTTCAGTCATCCGTCTGGTCGTTTAGGTCATGACTACCCCTGGCTTTTTATATATTAGTATGTTGAGTAAAAAAGCAAACTGTGAACTTACAATTATGTATAGAATAAAACTATCTTACTAGAATAAGAGTTAAATAAAAATACTTCCAGATTAAAATAAGGATTATCAAGAGACCTTCTTCAAAGAAATAAGTAGAACATACAGTATTTCAGGAATAATGAAGAGGATCTCAGATTGTAGATTAGAGAAGTAATAAATAAAGAGACAAAAAAGTAAGTATTTTTAGATAAAAAAACATTTGCTAAAATAGTAATATAATTAGGTTTATAAGAAAGAGAGCATTAAAACAGTATCAGTCAGGAGGCTGTGATACGAGTCAAAATGCTCTATGGTCTTTGGAGGTATACTGATTAATAGGACAGAATCAAGTTAAGAAACTGACCCACAGATCAATGGTAACAAGGTAATTCAACGAGTGGGAAAATTCATTGTAAAAATTCAAGAGTAACCAACCACTAAGAGAACAAAAAACCAAAACAATGTATAAGTACCAAATCAACAGAGAGGGGAAAAGGCAGGGTGGAGGGAGTCAATCCCCTTAAAAGAAGCAAAAGAAAGAAGATTAGAAAAAGTAAGACAAGTAGAAATTATAAAGAGTCCATATGGCAATTATCATAATAAATGTAAATGAATAAATTTTCTAATTAAAAGATAAAAGATGATCAGTTTATTTAAAAAGAAAAAGGCAATCTAGTTGAACACTATTTTAAAAGGTATTTGTAAAATACAAGTTCTACAGAATCAAAGCAATCCCAATTAAAATCCTACCTAGATTTTTTTGAGAAATTGACAAGCTGTGACCAAAATTTACATGGAAATGCAAAGAACTGAAAAGAGCCAAAACAATTAAAAGAGAACAAAGCTACTGGACTTCCACCACGATTTCAAAACTTACTACAAGACTAGGAGGTATTGGCATAGTCAGATATACAGACTAATGGAATAGAATAGAATTATGGCCCACACTTCCATGGTGATATGGCAATTCGATGAGGGGAAAAACAGTCTTTTCATCCAATGGTTTTAGACAGAGCTTTTCAACATTGGCATTATTGAAATTTTAGACCAGATAATTCTTTGTGGTGGGGGCTGTCCTGCACATTGTAGGATACTTAAAAACATCCCTGGCTCTGCCCACTAGATGCCAGAAGTACTCCTTTCTCACTGTGACAACCAAAACTGTCTCCAGACATCCGCCAGGAGGCAAAATCACTTTCAGTTGAAAATCACTAAACTGGAACTAGTTATCCTTATGAAAGAAAAATGAACTTTGATCCAAACCTCACACCTTGCACAAAAAATAACTTGAAATGAACAAAGACATTCATATAAAAGTTAAAACTATACAACCTTTACATCAGGGTTTCTCAACAGAATCAACTATTAACATTTTGGGCTGGATAATATTTTGTTGTGGGGATGTCATGTGTACTGTAGAATGTTTAGCAACATCCCTGGCTTCTAGTTCACAGATTCCAGTAGCTATCTTCTAGCCATGACAACCAAGTATGTCTCCAGACATTGATAAAGTCTGCTGAGGGGAGGAGGGAGGCAGGGTAAAAAGAGTAAAAGTGACTCCAGATGAGAATCACTTGGAGTTGGCAAATATTTCCATGCAAGAATACATAAAAGCACCAACCATAAAATATTTTGAAAAATTAAATTTCAGGAGTTTATTTAGCATGTAATGGCTATATGCATTGGGGGTGTGTGTGTGGTGGGAAGAACTTATAATCAAAGAACTTATATGCATACATGCATAATCCATGGACACAGGCAAATAGTGTGGTAAAGTGGGATGGGGGATGGAGGGACAAGCTGGAACGGGTCAATAGGGAAAAAGGGGGTACATCTGTATTACTTTCAACAATAATGATAAAAAAAATCCTCGGGTGAGAATATATCTATATAATGAAAATAAACCAATATTAATGTAGTATAATCTTTTTTTTAAAAGTAGAGAAAATATAAAAAATTTTTTTTCAAACTGTTTTCAGTAATCCGATGAATTGGTAGTATTAGTATTGTTATTCTAAGGCTGCTGTGAGTGTGTTCTGGGGTACAGCAAATGAGACACATGGTATTTTTTTCTTTTAAATGTATATCTCCTAGATCAGCCGTGGGCAAACTACGGCCCGTGGGCCGGATCCGGCCCGTTTGAAATGAATAAAACTAAAAAAAAAAAAAAAAAAAAAAAAAAGACCGTACCCTTTTATGTAATGATGTTTACTTTGAATTTATATTAGTTCACACAAACACTCCATCCATGCTTTTGTTCCGGCCCTCAGGTCCAGTTTAAGAACCCATTGTGGCCCTCGAGTCAAAAAGTTTGCCCATCCCTATCCTAGATCCATCTACCCAGGAGCAATGAACATCCCCAGTGCCCAGACTGTAGTCCTGAAATACCATTCCCACTAAAAAAACAAAACAAAACAAAAAAACAAGGGCTCTGGAAAATGGCTGACCCTAGGGCTGGAGAGGAAATGTATGAAAGGAACCTCAAAGACTATTAGAGTGACTTAAAAGGACTCAAGAGACAATATGCAGAGCCTGTCAACTGGCCAAAGTTGGTATTATTTGAACTTGCAAAAAAATCTTACTTGTAGGGACTAGAACCCACTAAATATGTTTAACTCCAATATTTAAAAAAGTGTGCTCAATGGTTAGCGTATGTGCTGGTTCAATTTCTGGTCAAGGGCATATACCTGGATTCCAGGTTTGATCCCTGGTCCTGGTCTGGGCTCATGTGGGAGGCAACTAATCGATGTGTCTCTCTCACATTGATGTTTCTTGACTTGAAACAGAATTACATAGTGTTCATTATATAATTCTTCGTTAGGCTGTATACATTTGTTCTATATACTTTTCCACATGTACTTTACACTTCATAATATAATATTAACATTTAAAACAGTAAAACAATGTTTATAGATATCAGTGAATCTTTGGGGTGGAGACGTAAAATATAAATGAGAGAAAATGTGCTGCCAAGACAATCTGACTAAAAAAACAAGACATAATGCTGGTTGTTAGCAGCCAAAAAAATATAAATTTTTATATTCACTTAGTGATTACATTGAACGCTTGAGCACTTGTTGTATGCCAGGCATTATTCTGAACTCAGCAGCATACAGAAGAGTACTCACTTACAGGCATTGTGAAAAAGACAAAAAACAAAAATAAAACCTGGAAAGGAAATACTAAGGGTAATGCTATTTTTTGGAGAGTAATTAGGAACATCCTCATTGATAGTTGGCATCTGAACAGAGACAGACTTAAAGGAATCAAGGAACTAATCCACGCAGATAGCTGGGGAACAGCTTGCCAGAAAGATGAACAGGCAAGAAGGCCTCAAGGACTATTCAAGAGACACAGAGGCCAGTCGGCTGATGTGGAACAACTGGGAGGAACGTATGTCGAAGATGAAGCAGGCTGGGGGGTGGGAGTGTGATCTTTGTAGACTGTCTCTTTCTGAGATAAGAAGACGGTTTAAACCAGTGAAATGAAGGGATATTAATACAGTTGACCCTTAAACAACATGGTGTGGCACTGCGGATCACTTATATGCGGATTTTTTTTCAATAAATACTGTAAATGTATTTTCTCTTACTTATGATTTATTTAATTACATTATCTTTTCTCTAGTTTACCTTATTGTAAGAGTACAGTATGATGCATGTAAGATATAAAATATGTATTAATCAATTGCTTATGTTATTGGTAAGGTTGCTGGTCAACGGAGGCTATTAGTAGTTAAGTTTTGGGGGAGTTAAAAGTTATACACAAATTTTCAACAGTGTGGGGTGTCAGCAACCCCACCCTCTGTGTTGTTCAAAGGTCAACTGTATATACTAATAGTAACTATTTAAGTAGGTTACTCTAAATTTCCACTAGGCTCACTGAATGATGGTAGGGTGCAAGGCACAAGCTTTGCTAGTAAATTTGCATGGATGATTTTTATAAAAAAATGAACTCACAGTTGAAATTTACCATTTGGTGATTGGTTACCATGAAGACCATAAATGCAAATTTATGTGACTAAGCTTTAAAGGACCATTCAGATTTTTAATGACTAAATTAACTCCTTGAATACCCACTCTCTCACAAGGGAAATCAGTGTATCAGATCAAACCATCCATGTGAGTAAAACATAACTCTCAAATGCAGTATGGTAGTTGGCTCAGTAAAAGAAAAAAGAATATAATATAGTACATGATTTTGAGGTGTAAGCACAGCATTTCTATTATTTAAATGTGACTATAAAAACCCTACCTACGATTTGGTCTCTAAATCGATAAAACTGTTATTTCCATATACATTTGACAGGATCATCACACAATTAAAAATGCTGCTATTGACTATTACTTGGCAGTGTAAGTAATTTTTTTACCTCTGTGAAGAGACGTGCATCATCAGAAAGCATATTATAATCCTGTGCACATTTCTTTGCAGAATTCTGTAAAAACTTTAGGAATTCAGTAACTTCTTCATTTACGTGGTTTTTCATATCCTAATTTTTTAAAAAGTAGACATGTTGTGGAATAAGAAGTTTGGTTAAAAACAATCACTTCTCAATCATTGCTCTAATTATTTTATCTTAAAGAATAATTAGCTGAAACCGGTTTGGCTCAGTGGATAGAGCGTCGGCCTGCGGACTGAGGGGTCCCAGGTTCGATTCCGGTCAAGGGCATGTACCTGGGTTGCGGGCATATCTCCAGTAGGAGATGTGCAGGAGGCAGCTGATCTATGTTTCTCTCTCATCGATGTTTCTAACTCTCTATCTCTCTCCCTTCCTCTCTGTAAGAAATCAATAAAATATATTTAAAAAAAAAAAAAAAAAAAGAATAATTAAAAGTATCATATCGAAAGCAAAAATCACAAAGAAAAAGTTAATGAAAATTATATAATAATGATACACTTGTTATTAAAAACTCCTCAAAAACAGGAAAGCAAATTAATACTATAATACATGCTTTGGAAATAGTAAGTTTATCTTATAAAATGTTCTTAATTAACAAAAATAGAACACACACCCAAATAGAAAAACAAGCAAACAAAATGAATTGTACAAAAGAAGAAACAGAAATGGCTTAATAACACATGGAGAATACTTATTTTTATCAATAACCACTGTAATTTAATGTAAAATAAGGAATCAACCATTTCTTCCATATCAAATTAGAGAGAGAGGGAAAGGTAATATTCAGTATCAGCAAAGATACTGATAACAACAAAAAAACCTTCCACACAATAGTGATATAAAAAAATTGGCTTGAAGTTTTTGCAGAACAATTTACCCATAGGTTTTAAGGCTTTACTGCAGATCAAAGCCTTAAAAACTTGTATGGTTTTTGATATGGCAATTTTATTTATTATTATTATTTTTATTGATTGGTTTTAGAGAGAGAGGAAAGGAAGGGTGGAAAGGAAAGAGAGAGAGAGAGACATCAGTTTGTTGTTCCATTTATTTATGCAGTCACTGGTTGCTTCTTGTATGTTTTCTGACCAGGGATAGAACCCACACCTCTGCGTATCAGGGCAACACTCTAACCCTTAGGACCTCATGGACCACCAGCTGGCGACCACTGCTCTAACCTACTGAGCTACTCAACCAGGACTGGCAGTTTTATTTTTAAAATTTTATCTTAAGGAAATAATCATAGATATAAACAAAGAGTTTGCAACAATGATGTTCAGTACAGCATCATTTATATGAATTTGGAAACTACTTAAATAAATTGGTTCAATGACATATGCAAGCTCTAATTCCAGTACTTAAGATGAACTGGAGTGAAATATGCTCAGAACTAGAGCAAAATGCCTGAACTATACCAGAACCAACAAAAGAATTAAAGCACCAATTTTTCCATCAATTATCTCCCTAAACTTCCCATTTTTGTTAATATGGTTGCACCTAAAAACATAAAAGCAAATTTAAAGTGTTTCCTAACTTTTAAATACTTTTTTTACTGAAGCTGAAAAATAGAATACATACCAAGTACTGCAAGTAGTCATTTTTATTTATTCCAACAGCTTTGGAATTAGCAGAAATTTTTGCATATTTAACCAACAAGTCAACGTAACTCCTCTGCTCTCTCTGTGAGAAACGAGAGAAACGAGGATAAGGAACTCTTGGTTTTGGAAGAAGAACCATTCCAACTGTGGTTTTAACATTTTCCTTTGCTTGAGTTGCTGAACTAACCGCCGGCTCATTTTCTACAGAACTTGCTGAGGCATTCAAATTCTCTCCTATACGTCTGGAGAAAAACAAAAACAAATTACAAATATGTGCTTTTCACATGAAGACTACTATCATGAAACCTCATGATTCTTAACCACCCAGAAGAATATAGCGTGATTAACACAGTAAATTCTGAATTATTATCTAACTTTGCCACCTGCACTTTGATGTTTAGCTATTTGGTGTAAATTAAGTATTCTGTAGGATAGGGGCGAATTATAAGCTTACTTTCAATTATCTGATGGAGAGGAAGAGGCATAATCCTTAGACAAATTATTCACTTTGGAAGTTTTTCCCCTGATATTTGGTTGCTGTAATCTTCATTCTTAACAAGTTTTAAAGTATACACATATACACAGAAAGCCTCAACAACTCTAAATTTCCAAGACAGTAACTGTTCCCTATGAATTAGTTCCAAATTAAACAACGTTAATCCAAGAGGAAGGAAAAGTAATGAAAAAGATGGATGTCTGTTGATTCAGTTTTCATTCCTCCATTAATTAAAACTTATTGAGTGACTACCATGTGCCAGTCCTATGTTAGTTAGTGGAGATGCAACCAACATTGAACATGATACAATCTCTACTTGCTAGGATGTTACAATCAAGTAGATCAGACAACTGAATGCGGAAAAAAGAAAGGCAAATATGTACATCAATACAATGTGACTACGGAGCTCTCAGGTTTCCAAACTGAACACACTGAATAGGTGACTGAAAAGAATCCTAAAGACATCCAGATCAGAGATTAAGAGGAAGAGAGGGGAGGGACAAGAAATATCCAGAGCAGAGGTTCTCAATTGTGACAGTATTAATTCCCTGAGGGCATTTTGGAAGCCTGTGGATGCATCTGGGTGGTAAAAAAAGAGGGAAAGAATTAAAGGCATTTAAACGTGAGGAATACTACCTGCCTATAACGTGGTGCTGTCCTGCACAACTTTCAAAGGTTTCTTCAGGCTTTCTGTTACCATACACAAATAAATCTGATCTGTTATTACTTAACAATACATTTTATTGTTTGAATTTCTTATGATTCCTTTATGGCAATGATTTTCAACCTATTTTCATCTCATGGCATACAAACTAAGTACTAAAATTCTGTGGCACACCAAAAAAAAATTTTGGTTTGCTGATCTGAACCAAAAAAAAGGTATTACTTTGATTTATTCACACCAGGCAGCTCTTGTTGTTTTGGCTGTTATCATGTTTTTTATCTGACAATCTAAGGGAAAAAAGGTCAGTGTCCCTGACTAAACAGCCAGGCATTGAATGTTTTAAAATTCTTGTAGCACACCAATTGAAAATCACTGCTTTATGGTATAGTTTATTATACCTCTTTTAACACGTTAGGAGCCAAGCCTATTTTGTCTTCCTTTTGGTTTAGCCCGCAATATCTGATTTCACTGATAATGCTGGTGGCTGAAAACTGACGAGGTCCGGACGGAAAGTATAGTGTCAGTCACTGGTGACTGACATGGCGCTTAACGTGTTAAATTCAACCTTATTCATTTTAGCTGGTGCATCTGACTACTTCGTTATATCTTTTAGTGCAGTAGAAATGAGGCATTTACATATTAGAATATAAATTATTTTTCTTTCATTTCACATTTATATATATCTAGGACATTATTTCTAAATATTATGTCTGTGGCTATTATTATCTATGAATTTTAATTTAGGCTAGTAAATAAGGTGTTTTATTTCTTTTAAATATTTGCTATGAAAAATGGGAGGTTTTGGCCTGATTAAGGTTGAGAATTACCAAACCAGATTTGTATCTGGACAAAGGGTGAGTTAAGCTCCATCTAAAACTAACACTGACTTGTTTTAAATCAACTTTATAATACTAAAAAATATATATGGTAAAAATTCCAGAATTTTTAGAAAATGACTTTAGGGTCCCAAAATAAAGCAGAAATATTTAAGACCACTCTTTTAGAGATAAACAATAGATGGAAAACTAATCAAGAGAGGTTATTAATGGGTGGGAAAGAATTATACAAATTAAAATAAGGATGATTAGATTGACTCTGAAAATAATACAAGTAAAAAAGACATACTTAGTGACTAAAGTTTCTCCAATAACTGTAAAAAATAAGCACATTTTTGGTTAACAAAATGAATATTAACTGCTGATCTTGGGAGAAATGTATCACAGCAAATTGATTTCTCACTAGAAAATGTCTTGAGAGCTATTCAAACCTAACAGTATTGTGTCTGCAACTCTTAACAATACTGCTTCACAGCTGTCTCTCTGAATATGAGAACATGTCTGTCCTTGTGGCACAAACTGGCAAATTTAATTAAGCTGCTGCAGCAACAAGATGCTGACTCAGATATGCCAGAGTAGGAATGTCAAGAAATTCTAGCAGTTTAAATTGGCTACATTCAGCAAAGAATGAAATGGCAGCACATCAAGATCATTTCCGTGTGCAGTGCTGTCAAAATCTTCATCAGGGTGCAAGCCAAAAGCATCTGACAGGGTTTCTCTAACCACATTTACAGCATTATATTTTATTTCAGTTGATGGTTTGAAGTTTTCACACTTCATTTTGTCTACTACCCATTCTCCTTTTTTACTTAAAGTTTCTATGGAAAAAAGGCAGAATTCAAAACTTCAAGTTTCTTAATTTTAAATCTACTGGATTGGGCAGTTTCTTTAAGTAGCATTTGGAAATGGTGCTTGTAATCTCCATCTGAAGTTTACCTGTACCTCTTGAATTTGATTAACTTCTCTATAGTAAACATGTTGAAATTTGATAATTATTTTTCTATTTATAACTACTTTCCCCCTTGTTAGAAACTCAGTTATAAATATCTACAACCAGACACTTTAATTTGGAAAAAAGGCTAATGTTTACCTTTCAATGAAGGGTTGAATGAAAACTTCACATTGTTAAAAGTAGTGTTATTAATATTTTCCCAAATGTTAGAGAACACAAGAGAAATACAAAATTAAAGCTAACAAAAATGTTATATTCTTCCTAGTTTTCCATCAAGAAAACAGTTGTAAATTAATAGTCTGAAAATCCATTCCCTACTGTAAAACTTAAAACTCAAGATTAGCCCAAAAGACTAGAAATAAATGGAATCAATGCCTTTGTCTTTATTTTTTCTATACTAAAAGGTAAGTCATAATAATAAATTATTTTATGCTATATAGAAATCTAAAGAAAGACACGCATACTATAGGAAAAATAAAATTTAGGAGTTAGGTGAGCCCAACTGCCAGCAAAAATGTCCTCTCCCTTACATAATCCAGACTATAATCCACACCTGGGATATGCTGAACAGAAGTGGACGCGTAAAGAACCATTAAAATAATGAAGAAGCAGTGGCAGATTAAGGAAACTAATATTACAAATTTTTAGTCTGATAAAAAAAGGAAGGCTGAGATAAAAGTTCTTGAAATGTTTATGTTTTTAAGATATTTATATTTGCTGAATTCCAGAATACTAGAATTGGTAGGTATTCTTTTATTCAAATAAACGAAGACAATTCTTTATTTAATTAATAAGTTTTAAGAGTGGAGAGGAAGGGGCCAAGGGGGAGGGCGGTGGGAAGAAGGGGACATCTGTAATACTTTCAACAATAAAGATAAATTTAAAAAAATTAGTTATCCCTAAGAAATGGTACAGTTGAATACAGAAATAGCTTTTAAAAAACAGCCATAGATGCACATTCATAAGGGATCTATGGTCTTACCTGTCTATAGCTGATATTAGCAAATACATAATTATGCAGTTTGGAAAGAAGAATACTGCTTCTGAAATTGCCTTTTTAAAAACATTTACTTTTCAACTGTCTTTTTTTTTTTTTCCCCAACTGTCTCTTTAATATAATTTTTGCTTGCTTTTAACGTGAACCTATGTATTTATTTGATGGAATAAAAAAGTACTTGTTTCTTTAATGCTTTTAATGACAATCTGGCAATTATGTATCAAAATAAAAAACACATGCATACCCACATCTTACAAAAATTTATCCTAGTTCTTATACCAGCACATGTATAAAAAGGATGCTCACTGTTTGCTACGGAGATGACCTAAATGAGTATCAACGGTGTTAATTAACTGATTCCACAGACACATCCTCAAAGGTTCAAATTCAAAAGGTTGGGTTGAGAGTGCAAAATCAGTCTTTTTTAAAAGCTCCACAATCTGATGAGTCAGCATGGTAAGCCTGACAATGAAGATGGCAAAAGAGACTGAGAAATACCAGTCATCAGAAATCTAAGAGTGAGATATCTCTGTAGTCAATAGCTCCTAGATCTTGAGAGGAACAATCTTAGACTAGAGACGGTAAAAGCCAGATTAGAGTGTGATGTTAATTGAAAGCAAGTCCAGTGAGCTTGCTTTCACTGGACTAAAGGAAAGGAGTATTTTTATACTGTTTTTTAAATCCATTCTCCCAATATGTCTTTTGATTGGAGAGTTTAATTCATTTAAAGTAATTATCGATAGGGAAGGACTTATTATTGCCTTGTCTGTTGTTTTCTGCATGTGTTATACAGTAGTATTTTTGTCCCCTATTTCCTCCTTGTATATTGCAAGCATATACAAGTCTTTAAAGGAGTCTAAGTATAAATGAGCAAAGAAATAAAAAAGTAACTAGAAGGGAATCTGGAGTCCAGGGATTAGAGACAGAAAAACTTGAGCACTTTGAAATACAGGGATACCTTACAAATTATTGTGGGTTGCATTCCAGACTCCTGCCATAAAGCAAGTTTTGAAATAAAGTGAATTGTAACTTTTTTGCAGGTATTGGTCTTGCCTTCAATTTGTAATAACACACACCTGTGAGGTTCAATATAATGAGGCAGGCCTGCACTGACAAGAGAGAACAAAGGCATAGAATAAGAGGGGATGCTGAGAAGGCAGGGAAAGATGGGGTTCCACTGGATGAAGAGGCTGGAAACCATACTTCCTCCACTGCAAAAGGCATGGTCAAAGGATGAAAATACATGGGGAGCTCCCTAATTCCTTTTTGGCATATTTACTCCTTTCTAGTAAACCTGATTATTTGGTTTCAGGATCCATCCACAAAGAGTAGAAACAACTGATCACAAAGGAAAGAACTGTTAGAGGAAGGTAAGCAGTGAGAAGGGAAAATTATCACTTAATGGGCATTTCATACCAGAGAGTGAAAAAAAAATCTCTGGCATTTTGGCAGTATTTATTAAAATATAAAATGTATATACCCTCTGGCCAAACAATGAAATTTATATGAATTTATCTCATAAATAATTACAAAAAGTTCATCAATGCATTGTTTATAACTTCAAAAAAGAGGAACACATTTTGCAATATAAAACTAGCTAAATGAATTAAAAAGTACACTTTTATAATATATAATATACAACCATCAAGAAGATTGAGCTACAGATGCAGGGGCATAGAAAGATCCAGGAAATATTGTTTTAAATGAAAAAACAAACTATAAAAACAGTTTTATAGTATTTATGATATTACATAGTATTTATAATGTGACCCAATTTTTTTTTAATACATATCTATCTGTTCATGGGTGGGGAAAGGGCTGAAAGATACATACTAAAGAGTGGTCACTGGGTTCTTCTGTTTTCTAATTTTTACATTTCTGCAATTTGAATGTTTAGTAGTGGATACAGACAGATATAAAACTTCAACTATCAGAAAAATAACAACCAAATATGGAAATAATTAACCAAATAAATAAACATATTACCTGTTAGATAAATTACATAGTTCTTTCAAACTTGGAGCCATGGAATGATCTTTATAATTTTCTCGAGAGAAAAATGTCTTAAGGCCATTTTTTGAGGCGACATCCCTGTGAAGCAAAGTAATTGTATTTGACAATTCAAAATCTCAAGCTAGAGTAAGCAGCATAATGGTACAATTGTAATTTATAACTACATGCTCTCTACACCCCCTTTCCTAGACAGTCAGCTCTTCATAGTTTTAATTTCATGTACCAGATGTATGAGTTCAGATGTTTTCCTTCTTAGATAGCTTTTTCCCTAGGCCTATTCTGAAATTCTCCAGTTCCAACAACAGGCCTTGCTTTTCCTTTAGTATCCAATTAAATATATGTCAGAGATAACTCGAGAGTTAAAAATAGAACAGATTATAAGTACAATAAAAGGTCTGTCAGAGGCAGGTCTCGCCTCTGGCTCTGGGCATAACATTTTGTTTGGTTACTGACAGAAAATGCTTCTCTATTTTTGTTTCATGCACTATTAAGTGAGGCCACAAGACACTAAAAAGACAGCATATCCTCCCATTTTCATTAACCTGGCAAATGTGATAAATGGTGTGTCTGTACTAAAACCACTTCTAAGGCCATATGTGATTTTTCATAACAAATAATTTAGAGACTAATATATTATAGTCAATGCTTTCCATATAGTAACATCCAATAAATGCTAGTTGAATGAAGGAATTAAAAAACTAAAAACACTGAGAACCAATAACCTGGGAGGACAAGATTAGTAGGATTCTGTGGTCAAGGATAGTTCAAGGACTTCAAGACTGTGCAAAGGCTCTAAATCACATTGGGTTTCACAATGTCAATGGTATAGTATAAGAGCATCCATGCTGCTTCTGAACATACACTTTATGGCAAGGAGCATAAACTTGTATACCAAGCATGTCAAACTCAAAGGCTAACACAGGCCAAATAAACAAGGTTTAAGTTTATGTGGGCAGCAAAAAAACAAAAGCTTCAATTTCATAGAAACGTAGGTTTATTTCGATAGAGACATGCTGAATAATACAAAGGGCTGAAATCATTAACATAAAATAGAACATTTTAATAAAAATTAAACATTTTTCTTGAACATTAACTTATCAGACACTGAATAACTGCACAAATTAATAAGCGTAACGCAAATAAACCTATTTTTCTTGTTCTCTGAAAGCGAAATATTTCCTGTTGCGCACACCAAACAAGTCAGTCCAAGACTAATGATGTGGCAATCGGCTGCTAAAATATTCACTGCTAGTATTAGTGGGGAGAAATGGTGCACTTGCACGTAAGGTGCGTAAGGGAAATTAATGCAATACCATTATAGTAATCAGTCCTTAGCGAATGTTGTAGTTCATCATTAATAACTAGAGGCCCAGTGCATAAAATTTGTGCGGGGGGGTGGGGGGGGGTGGTCCCTCAGCCGGGCCTGAACCCTCTCTAATCTGGGACCCCTCAGGGGATGTCTGACTGCCGGTTTAGGCCTGATCCCAGGCAGTAGGAGATCCCTCTTGCAATCCAGGACTGCTGGCTCCTAACCGCTCAACTGCCTGCCTGCCTGCCTGCCTGATCGCCTCTAACCGCCTCTGCCTGCCAGTCTGATCGCCCCTAACCATCTCTGCCTCGGCCTCCACCACAGTGGCTTTGTCCACATGGATGTCCGGAAGACGTCTGGTCTAATTAGCACATTACCCTTTTATTAGTCCAGATTATATAAAACAGGATATTCTAAAAATTAAGTTATGAAATTTTTATTAAAATATTTCTTACATATGTTATATTGGCTGGGCCACAAAAATATTTGTTGTGGACCACGGGCTGCGAGTTTGACATGCTTGGTGTATACCTCTAATTAAATGCCAACTTCTGGCTGGCCCATTCCCAAAATGAAAAATTCTAGCATATTTGCACCATACTCATTTCTTACTGTTTTTAAAGGCATTTATCCAAAAAACTACAATTGAAGTATGAATGGTAAAATGAGAATGTCTTACTTGTTATGCACCAGTGTGGTTTTTATGACTTGTTATGGTACTGTATATTTGCCATCTCATTACATTTTAAGGCTTTTGTATATCATACAAAAACAAAGTCATGGGGCTCAGGGATCGACTGTGAGCTCTTTGGGGGAAGGGAACATTGTTTGCATTAAATAAATACTTATTGAACACGTACTGAAAGCATCTTCTTTAAATCAGGTACTATTTTAGTTATCTTTATAGTGTCTCATAACTTTCATATTCTCCTTGGCTAGCAAACTGTAGATGCTCAGAAAACGTGCGCTAAATTAACCTAAAGCCACACGAGTATTAGTTAGATCTCTGCAAAGCCACTTCCGTTACTTAACTGAGTCCTCTATTTGTGAAGTTCTCATACACTTCTGAAACAGTCTGTGCATTTACATGAGCACTTGATACAGACTCCAACATAACAAAAAGAAGCTTATCTATTCTTAAAGGGGGGGGGGGTCTTTTTCCTACTTGTACAGCAGTGGGCAAGGTCCTTGGACACAAGCAAATTCCAGCATCTCTCCTTCACTAACAGAGCGTCAATAAGTACGCGATGGAATGATACTTGGTAGCGATCTGAGTGCTGAATCGTCACTTTCGGAGAGGAAGTGCCGTCAGCGATACCGCAAACGTGCTCAGGAAGTGCAGATGAGGATGGGATGGATTCTGAGCCACTGAACTTCTATTTTCTTTCTGTTTCCTCCAAAGCTCTGCAGGTCAAAAACCCCCCCTTTCCTAATCTAACCTAGCCCACGTTCATTCTCTTTAGGCGATTACAAACAGAGGCAACTCACCAATTCAGCCTCGGTTCACTCAGCGTGACGGAGCTCATATTCCTAGACTTCTGCGTCACTCCAGCTCACGGTTCTGCTGCCCGTTCGTGCAGGCTCCAGCAGAGGCAGGGTTTCTCCAGAATCACCTGAGGAAAAACAAAAAGGTCAGCACTGAAAGCAGGTGACTGGGGAGACCAGGTGCTGTTACCCCCGCTCCGAACACCTGTCCTGAAACCGACAGGACACCGGCAACAGAATGCAGCGGACAGACCAATGCTTGCAGGGTTCTTGCGGTAGAACAGCAACGACGGTGCGGTCCTTCTCCATTTAACCTGTCCCAGGAATGGCACTCTCGGAGCCCAAACAGAATGGCGTTCTCATGGCCTACCGCCCAGCCCGCAACACCGCATGGCGGGGAGATGTAGGTCTCAGCGCTCCCTCGGCCCCCAGTTGCCGAAGGGAATCCGGCTTCGGGGTCCCCAGCCATGCCCTGCTATGGGTCATCTCGGCAAGCAATGCAGGACGAAAACAACAACAACAAAAAGGCCTGGGGACCAACAATCTTTCCAAGAGAACCTCACTGCTGAGGAGGAGACTGAGGTCCAGGCACCTCGGGTGACATTTCACAGGGTCCCTTTGGGGAATCACCGGGACCGCACGTCGGGCTTGGCCACTCCGTGCTCGGTGCCTCTCCCGTGGCCCTGGGCGGACCGAGCGGGTGTGGACGAGAAACTCACAAACGGAGGAGGCGGTCCCAGGGCACCGGGCAGGCCTCACGGGCTCCCACGGAACCGGCTCCCACGGAACCCACCTCTCACACCTCGACCCAGCGCGAGGCAGGGAGAGAGAGCCAATGCGGGCAAAAGGAATGGCTGCGGGAAAGGGGACTAAAGGACTGAGACGAGAAACAAGGTCTCAGAAGGGCGGGCCAGGGGGAAACTGAGCCGGGCCTGCGCCGCGCCAGAACGGGAGCCGTGCGCCCCGGCCGCGGGGGCCGCCATGTTCCCTCCGCCCGCCCCTCGAGCGCGCGTCTCCCGGGCAGCGCCCTCCGCCCCGCGTCTCCCGGGAAGCAGCCTTTCCGCCCACCTAGCGGTCGCGGCCGCGCCGACCCCGGACCCGGCCGCGTCCCCACTCCACACACTGCCGCGCGCGCCCTGGGAAGCCCTTATTTAAGGAACGTGACCACGCCACCTCGGCCCAGCGTGGTGACGTCACGCGACGCAGAGGGCGGGGCCGTGCGCCGGGAGTCGTTCAGCTGGCAACTGCGGGGCGGGGCTGGCCAGGTGGGCGGGGCTGCGGGTTGCACGTGGTCCTAAGAGGTCCTCCACCTCCCGGAGGATGACAAGTTAGGAGGAGGGCCAGTGGCCAGCACAGCACTGGGGAGGTCCCAGCGGACTCATCTTGTGATCTTAGCCCACTGTCTTCACTTCCCTAACCCTGACATCAGTACGATGGAGAAGCTCAGTAGGGTTTTTGAAAGGATTAAGTAGAATAAGAGATGAACTGTGCTCAGCCACGGTGCCTGGCACATAGTAGTAGCTCCTCCACTCCATGCCCATCCCAGTTTAGATGTCAGTTTCCACCTAGGTTTTTTTTTTTTTTTTTTTTTTCATGCATTAAGGAAAGATTTATTGAGCACTGATAATTTGTGCTTGGTGCTGGGTACATCTAAGACTAAGAACAAATACCAGTTTTTCCAAGGGCTTTGGATGGTTGAGAATCTAAGATATTTACATTATATATTTATAAAACAAAGTAGGAAGGGATAAGCAACATAAGAAAGGTATATAGAAAGATGATGTGAGTACAGAGAGGGAGAAAAGCTACTAGTGAGAGGGACAGAAGACTGCTTCGAATAGCTAAAAACATGTGTGAATACTTATATCTCAGTTACCACATTGGGCACTAAACATGTCAGCTCATTTGAAGATGTTGAAGTATGAAGATGATGGGAAAGGGCATTCTAGACAGAGACCAGCACAGGGAGCTACATAACTGTATTGCATGAACAGAGTCCAGTTTGTGTGCTATCAAGAAACCATGCTCTAAATCTTAGAATGTGTTATGATGTTTAAAGTATGTTAACATAAAAATTATACCTACATTAAAAATATCCCTTGAATGTAACAACTCCGAGGTAGTTTATTTTGCCTGGAATGCAAGGTTTATGAAGACTAGTAGACAAGGATTTGGGAAGATAGGTTGTGATTGGACTACAGAAGATTTTATAAGCCAAAGTACAAATGTTTACTTTATTGTGTAAGAAATAGAATGCTGGGAGAAGAGGGGAGCTTATAGGCAGAAGAATGATTCAATCAGACATACGTTTCAAGAAAGTTTATCTGGCAATTATTATTGAATGAGTTGTAGGGCAGAGGCTGGTTAGGAGACAGTGCTTGTGAATATGTGCAGATCAACCGGTGCAATGATGCCCTGACACTTTGTAGGTAGCAGTTATTATTAGGTGTGATATGGGTGGCCTGTGCTAGGATAGAGATGGACATCCCGGCAATTTGGAGTTAATGTGTTGGGTAGTATCTCATAAAGCATACAGCCAGAGAGAGTTGGGAGTCCTGTCCTAGTCTTCAGCAACTGCTCAAGGACTGCTCCAGAACTCTAAGCACTCTTGTTGCTGGGATGCACCGGCCCACAGTAGTGTGCTGTGGTAACATCACCAGACATGGCCTGTGTTGAGGTTCTAGATTATCATCAGACAGGCTGCTCTGGTTTGGTTTATCTTGAGTTCCAGGGGTTGCAAGATACCACACAGAATCAGATTTCTTAGAGCCAGAAGGAACGTTGGAGATTATCTAGTCCAACTCTCTTGTTTTCCTGGTAAGGAAACTGAGGCTCAGATTGTCAATGACTTTTTCAACATTGCATGATCAGGGATAAAGCTGATACTAAAAAGTCAGATCTCATAACTTTTGCCATTACGATATATTAAATATAAGCATCTCTTTATGCTCTGTATTGTAAACCAGAAGCAGTTTAGTGAAAAGAACATCGATTTTTGGAGTTCAGCATATATGGATTTGATCTCAGTTTCCTATTTATTGGCAGTGTGATCCTCTTTGAGCCCAATTAGAGGAGACAGTATTAGCTCACCTACAGGATTGTAGTGAGGATTAGAAGTAATATGTAAATGAGTAAATATGCCAAAAATAATATGTAAAGAGTAAATGTTAAACAAATAGTAGCTATTAGTATATACTTTTTCTGCTCCCCCCGCCGCCAACCCACAATGCAGTGGAGGTGGCATTGAAAACATATGGTTATAATACAAATAAGAAGTGATGTACACAGACATTATAGACGATTCTATGGGAACACAACGAGGAAGAAACTCTTTTAGACCGAGACACTTTAGAGACCATTTCAGAGAAGTCTGATTTACATTGGGAGTGTCCTGGGTAGAGGAGGGACTGGCATTTTCAGGTGTGAAAAATAACAGAAGTGTGAAACAGCATGTTCTGAGGAAGGGGAAAAGCTACTGCCGTGTGTGTGTGTGTGTGTGTGTGTGTGTGTGTGTGTGTGTGTGTGTGTAGGGGGGAGAATGAAGATCACTGGAGGAGAGGGGCTAGAGAGGGTCTTCATGCCATGCTAGAGAATCTGTGCTTTTGGACTTCATTCCCTGGTAATAAGAAAACCTGTGTGTGTGTGTGTGTGTGTGAGAGAGAGAGAGAGAGAGAGAGAGAGAGAGAGAGAGAGAGAGCACTTTATTGAAGCGTAACCTACCTACCGTAAAACTCACTCATTTTAGTTGTGTTATTCAGTGATTTTTAGTAAGTGTAGGGAGTTTTGCAATGCTCAACATTACCAAGTTTGGAACATTTCCATTGCATTAACTTGGAAAATCATTTGTGCCCATTTACAATTAATTATTCTTCCCACCCTCAACCCCAGGCAAACACTAATCTCCTTTCTATCTCTATAGATTTGCCTTTTTCTGGACATTTCATATAAATCAAATCACATGTAGCCTTTTGCATCTGGATTCTTTTCTTAGCTGAATATTTTTGAGGATCATCCATGTTGTAGCAGTATTAGTAATCATGTAGCTGAATTGTAGCCCATTTGTGGATATGCCTCATTTTGTTTACCCATTTGACAGTTGATAGACATTAGGTGGTTTGTACTTTTTAGCTATTATGAATAATGTTGCTGTGAACATTTGTATACAAGTCTTCATGAACTTTGTGTTTTCATTTCTCTAGGTTAGATACCTAGGAGTGGAATTATATATAAATTTATGTTTAACTTTTTAAGATACTGCCAAACTGTTTTCCAAAGTGACTGTACTCTTTTATTCTTTGGAATTTTAAGCAGAAGAAAGATTTGGTTGTCCATATCTGCTAAACAGGGAAACAACCCCAGAAGTTGAATGAGAAGTCAATTTCAGTTTGAAAGAATTTATAAACAGTAGGTACTTATTTTGAGTTTATAAACATTTCATAGGATCAAAAATTTCAAAAAGAATGCTTACGACTACATGCATCTAGCTAAGTAAGGTTATCATAATTGTTACTAGATGTGTATTTCTTCTTGTGGATGAAACCAAGACAGAGAAATGTGCAAGACCATTTGCATCTCAGCACATCAGTGGTTAGCCTTCCCAGAATACCAGGATGGCTCTATCTTTTCACAGACCTGACATGAGAAGCAGGCCTGCTTCACACCAGTCCATTTGCTCCAAATGCACATTATAAGTACTAATAGAAGTCTAATTTTAAGAGGCTGATCTTGGCCATGAAACAAAGCTTAATAGTAACAGTAGCACTAAGACTTGTGTGGTCAGGTCTTACTGACTAGTCTATGATTACTTCTTTGGCTTTATCTCCAAGAGTTTAATAATAACCTGATTTGTTTTCTTTATCTAATTCTCCCATGAGATCAGTATAAACAAACTATCAGGTGTCCCTCTTATGCTCCTATTGAAGTACCCTTTTGGAAGTGGAGCAAGCTAATCCATGGTGGAGAGGTAAGTGTAAATCATTTTTTATCAGAAGGAGCTTAGGCATGAGTTTGGCCAAAGGCCTAGAGGTGACAGATTTCATATATTCAACTTCACTATTTCCATTTACTCTCAATTTTCCAAGATGCTGGAAGGTGGTGAATATTTATAATTATATGGAATTTGACAGTCCACAAATAGTTCACACGCATTATGTCATTCTCCCCCTTCTCTGAGGCAGTTGGAAATAAAGGCAGGATTCGGGACTGTTTATTACATGAGACAATTTTGGGGATCAAGTCAAATATTTATTTTACTGAATGCAAGAGACACACAGGTATTGTAGTGTGTGTGTGTGTGTGTGTGTGTGTGTGTGTGTGTGTAGGAAAATGCCGACTTAGTTGCCTTTATTCTGATTTCAGAATATTTTATAATTTAAATGTCCTTGATGTTACTTTAAAAATAACTTATAGTGAGGTTTTTGCATTGTTATAAGAGTGTGATACTTAGCTGATATTAAATGTATTGGCTCACTCCTATATCATCTACTCAAGAGGAAGGATGGGGCTGGAGGAGGCAATGCTAGCCCCAGTAAAGAAATATTTTTAGTCTTTGACATCATTAAAATCTTTGGCAGCATTTCTGATGTTATGTTTTAAAGATTTCTAAAGCAAAGATGACAAAGTCCTGTCTGCATCCAGGAGTTCTCCCCCCCTACTCTCAGAGCAGGTGTCACTCGTCAGTCATGACCCTCCTCTGAGACAGGAAGCAGCC